CACATGTGTGAGGCAAGCCCTCTGCCACTGAGCTACAGCCCTAGCCCCTTGTTGCTTTTTTTTAAAAATAACTTTATTTTGTTTATTTATTTATTTTTTTAATGTGATGCTGAGGATTGAACACAGTGCTCACATGTGTGAGGCAAGCACTCCACCACTGAGCCACAACCCCAGCCTTTGTTGTAGCTTTTTAAGAAATAGTCCCCACAGATAGCTTTAAGCTATCTATCTATCTATTTATTTATTTTGGTGCTGAGGATTGAATTCAGTGCTCCATGCATGCTAAGCAAGTACTCTACCATTGACCTGTATTTATTTATATCTATCCCAGCAGCTGAGGAAGCTGAGATGGGAGGATTGCGAGTTCAAAGCCAACCTCAGCAAAAGCAAGGTGTTAAGCAACTCAGTGAGACCCTGTTTCTAAATAAAATACAAAATAGGGCTGAGGATGGGCTCATTGGGCAGGTGCCCCTGAGTTCAATCCCCATTAACCATCCCCCACCCCTAAAAAATTATACCTGTATTTATTTATATTTGTAGTACTGGGGATTGCAGCTAGAAGTATACCACTGTGCTACATCCCTAGCCCTTTTAATTTTTTAAAAATTTGAGGGCTGGAGCTGTAGCTCAGTTGGTATGACCTCAGTTGATTGAACCCGCAAGGCCCTGGGTTCAATCCCCAACACCACAAAAAAAAAAAAAAGACACATCTTCCTGAGATGCCAATGTTGACCTTGAATTTGTGATCCTTCTGCTGGAGTTAAGTTGCTGGGATTACAGGCATGCACCACCATGCCCTGTGTCACCCTCTTTATTTTTTCTAAATCTTGTACAGGTGGCTATTTTATAATCTCTGTCAGATAATTCTGGTATGTAAATTATTTATGAATCCATTCCTGCTATTTCTTGCTTTGCTTAGTTATTGCTTATGACTTTGTTTCTTTTGTGTTTTGTTTTCTAGCAGTGTGCTTCTCATTGTTCTTGAAAAATTATTTGTGCAGTTTCTTCAAAGTCTAGGATGAGTGTGGGTTCACAGGGAGAATTTTTATTGGCATCTTTCTAGTGCTTAGAGATTTTTACCTCTCTAATACTACTTTACTGAATTTATGGCTTGTATTTTGTTTGATTGGTTTATTTTCTTTTTTGTCTCAACCATTAAGAAATATTGATTTGTATTATCTTAGCATTTTTCAGGGGAACTCCGGACCCCTGCACTGTCAAGGCAACTTCTTGCCCACCTCCAGGGTGGCAGAAATTTTCCTCTGGTTTACCCTTTTACTGAGAGTGCAGTCCAGCTGTATTGGAGACCCACCCAGCTTGAACTGGAAAGGGTTTCTTGTTGATAGACCTGTCTGCTGGACACCACAGTGCCCTAGACATGGAAATTCAATATTTGCAGGTGCCTTTAGGGCCACATATGACTTTGGTGATTTTTTACTTGTCTTCTGTTCCTAATTTTCCTTAGATTTGTTTCCCTGGCAGATTCCTTATATTTTGTCAAATCTTAAGTGCTTTTAATGTCCTTTCAAAATATTTTATCCTCTCTTTATAGTTGCTTTCGAAAAGAAAATTGGTTTAGACATCTTAGTGCCTATATTTACAGAAACTTTTTAACATTTTTTAGACTTTAGCAGACATTCATTGAATATATGGCAGAATGATTTATTTTAGTATCATGGCTTCAGAGATATATACATTTACCTAAGTAGTGAGCGTACACTGTGATAAATGGGTATCATAAGTATTCTGGAACCTGAATTTAGGCTGTTACTTTTGGTATAGTAGAAACATTAATCTTGAAGGGGACTTTATTTGTAGATTGAAAAACTAAACTCCTTTGTCAGAATCATGTGATTGGCTTGTTTTACTTTTATTGCCTACAGTGAAAATGTTAAATAGCTTTTCCTGATGAAGTATAGGTAGACTATAAAAATTTGGCAATTCTTATTTCAAAGTGGTGTAATAGAAGGCACCTTCCAAAAGAACGGTTTCTAAAGAAGAGTCCAGTGAGGCAAAGTGTTTCTAGACCTTTTCTGGATGTGTACATGTATGTTTACATTATAATTTTCCTCATTTTCATTGTGTTATTTTATTTAACCAATATCCTGTAAACATCTGTGTATTCTATAAATAGTGTTGTAAAGAATGTCTTTGTACATACTTTATGCATCTTTTTTTCTTCAGGTAAATTTCTTTGATTGCAATTCCCAAGTATGTTATTTTAAAAAGTCACCATGTAAATTGCTAGAAGGTTATTGCAGTTTAAGATTACCAATTTCTGCATACACTAATACTGATTTTTGTCATTATAATGTCTGCCAATGACAAAAATACCTTATTTTAACTGCATTTCTTCACTAGTGATATTAAATACGTTTCCATATGTGGAATGGCTTTTTCTATTTTTCTTTTAATTCTTGTTTAGGTCCTTTTCCTGTTTCTCTATTGGAATATTTTTTTTTTCTTAATGATGAATAGAAGCATGTTATTAAGATTGATAAGCTCAGTGGTAGATCATTTCCCTAGCATGTCAAGGTCCTGGGCTTGATCCCCAGTACGGCGTGAGGAGAGGGGGTTGTTGCTAATTCATCACTTATATCATAAATATTTTTTTGCCTATTTGTAATCTTGTCTTATAAATTTATGTTGATACTTAACATTTAGGAATTTTATGTTGATACTTAACATTTAAGAATTTTACATATAAGGTAGGAATCTACTTTACCCTTTTTTCTTAATACTTTACAAATATCCCATCATCTTTTTAATAAATACCCAATAATGTGAAATGTACTCTAGTCACAAATAACATATCCATAGTATATGAATCTGTTTCTGAATTCTCTTTTCTGTGCCACTGGTCAGTCTGTTTGTTCTTATACTTAATGTAACTTTATAGTATGTTTTGATATCTAGTCAAGTGTCCCTGGTATTCTTTATCAAAAATTATGTGACTAATTTTCACCATTTTTTCAAGTGAATCTCAAAATTAATTTGTTAAATTCCACCAGAACAAACATGAAAAGTGAACTTATATGACCACTATTCTACCATAACTCTTCCTCTTTGAAAGGCCCAAAACAAAATAAATAAACCCTGTAAATATTGGTTTTTGGTGAAATTTGCTATCTAGACAATTTGAATTCCAGAACATGAAATCACCATTTAATTTACATAATCTTTTATATTCATCTGTAAAGCTATGTAGTCTTCTTCACATGTATTCTTCATATTTCTTCCTCCTCCTCCCCTCACCCCAGGATTGAGTATTGAACCTTATAATGCTCTACCACTGAACTACATCCCCATCCCTTTTTTATTTTTCATTTTGAGACAGGGTCTTGCTACGTTGCCCAGGCTGGCCTCAACCTCTTGAGTCGCTGGGATTACAGGCATGTGATATTGTGTGCGCTTGGCTGTCCTTCATATTTCTTTTTTATTTTTTGTTTTAAATAATTGCTTTTGCTTTTTTAATTTCTTTTTTCAAAGTTTTTATTTGTTCTTTTTAGCTACACTTGACAGTATAATGTATTTTTGACATATTATACATACATGGAGTATAACTTCCCATTCTTGTGGGAAATTATACTCCATGTATAACTTGTTTTAGTATTTTATAGATTTTTTTCCTGCTATTTTATTTATCTTTAAAAATTATTTACTTATTTTGTTTATTTACATGCAAATTCAGGGCCTCATGCATGCCAGGCAAGCACTCTACCACTGAGTTGTATCCCCAGCCCTTTTTTTGTTTCTTTTCCTTTTTAGGTACTAGGGGCATTTAACCACTGAGTCACCTCCCCAGTCTTTCCTTTTTTTCTTTTGAGGCTAAGTTGCTTAGACCTTGCTAGCTTGCTGAGGCTAGCCTTAAAGTTGCAGTCTTCCTGCCTCATCCTTTCAGATTGCTGGGATTACAGGTGTGCACCCCATCTCCCAGACCAATTTTTTCACTATTTTGAATCTGCTTTTTCTTCCATTATATGCTCTGATTATAATTAATTATTGTTGGTATCTGGGGGAGTCTACTAGGTTTTGTACACTTATTTTGTGTGCGGCCATCTTACTGAACTTGCTTGTTTATTGTAGCAGTTTTTCAGTTGATTTGCTTGGTTTTCTTTGTGAATATTTATATCATCCAAAAATGACACTTTTGACTATTCTCCCAATTTTATTCCTCATCATTATCTTGGCTAAAACTTCTGTAACAATGTTGAATGAATTAATGTGTCACCCCTGCCTGGCTCCTAATTTTAGTTAAAGGGGTCTCTAGTGTAGCATCATTAATTACATTTTCTACTGATTTTTGAAAAAGTACTCTTTCGGGTATTAAAATTGGGTACCTTGGTTTTTTAAAAGTTGACCAAAAATATGCAAATCTTTTTGACATCCAAAGGGAAAATCATAATTTTCTTCCCCTAACATTGTAATGGATTACATTAGTAGATTTTCTTTTATTTAACCATTCTTATATTTCTGGAATAAACCATAATTGTGATTTATTATTATTTTAGTGTATTATGGTTGTTTTGTTTGCATGTATTTTAGATTTTTTTGCATGTAAGGGGTATAGAAAAGAGAATGCATGTAAGGTATAGAAAAGAGAAGAGTCAAGTAAGTCCGGTTTATAAAGTCATGGGACGGTTGTCTTAATTCTTTATTTACCTACAGGATGGAAATAACATACCTTGTATAGGATAGAGTATTATGAAGTTCATTTATCAATCTCTACAAAGTAATCTCCAAGTTCAGAGTTATATAAACATAGAACCTTTAAAATGTCATTGAACAAAATTTGAGTAAGATATTAAGTCGGGTTTATAGATAGGTAATAACCCAGTGATAATGTTGTTATCCTTGCTATAATTGTTTTCCTGAGAAGTTTGTTTTCTTTTAATTCATTCATCTTATATTTTCTAACTATATTTTAACGTATTGAATAATTTGGCACTATCAGATTTTCTTTCTCACCTATGTTATGCATTTTCTTTAATGTTTTCCAGCGGCGAGTAGAGCAGCCCCTCTATGGTTTAGATGGCAGTGCTGCAAAGGAGGCACCAGAGGAACAATCTGCTCTGCCAACCCTCATGTCAGTGATGCTAGCAAAACCTCGGCTTGACACAGAACAATTAGCACAAAGGGGTGCTGGCCTCTGCTTTACTTTCGTTTCAGTGAGTACTAAGGCTCAATTTATTCAGATGCTTGTCATTGTCCTGGGGCTTCTTGATGAAGTTGGGTTAATTATTTTAGTAGAGATGGGGATATTTTTCATTCTCTATCCCTTCTAGAGTTATTGTGCTTTTATTCAGTCCCTCCTGGTTCAGGCTCCTGAAAGCAGCTGCTTTGTTGAAGTCTGAGCACTGAGTGGGAAGGAATGTATAATCTTAGATTGACAAAAAAGCAAAGAAAATGCAGGTTAATTCTTTACAACCAGAATATTTGTATAATTAAAAATAAATTTTCTAAACTTCAGCCATCACTTATATAAACCAATTCAAGTCAGTACAGTTCAATATGTAGGCAGGGCTCTTACAAACTTGTCTTCTAACCCCTTTGGAGTGTTCATATACTTATTTTTTCCAGGAATATTCAGCTATCTGTTTGTTCAACTTACTTATTTCTCCCTTTTTGAAGAACAAGAATTCAAGTATTATAAAAGCTTGACTTCATTTTAATTTGCCAAGTTATAATGCAATTGGAATCAAAAGCTATTATTTCCCTTGGTTTCTCTGCCCCATCAGGTATAAGGGTGGTATAAAGTAAGAAAATGCTCCATTGCCCTATCATTCCATTATTAGGAGTGTCTTTCAGAACTGAAGTCACCACTGCAAAGGCAGCTTTAAAGGAAAGAAAAAGCCAAACAACTAATCTTGGGGGGGGGAGCTCAACTTAGGCCATAAAAGAAATTCCAAATAACACAAGATAACGTTCATGAACTATCAAATTGTCAAGGATTAATAAATTTGATAATTCTCAATGTAGGTGATAATAATGGAGATGGGTAGTTTTATACTAACTAGAAATTAATTAGAATAGTCATTTTGTTAAGTTTATATATCCTTGGGTCCAGAAATTCCATTCCCATGAAACTACAAAGATTTTTGTTGAGATATTTGTAATTACAAAAATTGGAAGCAGTTTTCCTCGATAAGTGTTTTAGAGGATGTAATCTCTGTGTTACTAAACCCAGTGATCATTTCTCAGAATTCATCCAGCATTTTTCATTAGCTATAGGTGAATTGTTCCCTTCTCCCAGAACCTCTCAACATTGGCATGTTCCAGGACTCAGTGTTCCTTTTTATTCTCCTTAATTTTCTATTTATTTTCATCTCGTTTCTTTGTTTACTAATGCCTATCACCTATGTGCAGAGGGTTCCTATGTGTATGCTTGTAGTCACATCTCTGCCCTGAATTCCAGCCCTATATAGTCAGTTGCTTCTAGTCATCTCCTCTTTCTAACAAGCATATCAAATTTAACGTATCCCAAACTGAACTCCATTCTGTTCTTCCACTCAAAACCTTTTTTTCCCCACAGCATTCCACATCTCAATATTGTCAACTCTTCTTCTTTTTCAGACTAAGACTCTTGGAGTCATTCTTATCTCTCTCTTATCTTCTCTTTTTATTATACCCCAAATTCAAAGCTATCAATAAATCTTCAGATTATGTTTAGAGTTCTGCTCCCACCTTACCCCCACCAACTATTGCCTCCATTCTAAACCATGTCTCCCTCTGAAATTTTGGCCTTCTAATTGGACTCCTTGCTTCCACCTTGATTTCCCTTTTAATCTCTTTGTGACAAAACATGGTGATTTTATTGAAACTTTAAGTCCAAGCCTGCCACTCTACTTTCCAAAAGGTCTTTAAAATGCCCCTATGTGGTTTGTCCTCCGTGTCCTCATCTCTTGTAACTATCAAGTTTCATTCACACTGGCTCCCTTTTTCTTCAGATGCTACCAGCAGTGCTCTTACCTCAGGACCTTTATACTCACTGTTGCCGTAACATTGTTGCCCTAGATATTAGCATGCCTCCTACTCGCTCAGTATTCTTGGTCTGACTAGACTGTATGAAATAACAGTTCCTCTCTGACTGCCTCACCTAGTATCTAGCTCTAATGCCCTGCTTTGTTTTTCTTCTTAGTCTTATCACCAGCTAACATTCTTATAATGTACTTCTTTGGGTGTTACTCTTGAACATAAGCTCCACAGGTCAAAGACTTTGCTCTGTTCATTTCGGTATCTCCAATGCCCTGAATGGGATTTGCTCTGAAAGGAATTCAGTGTAATTATATGTTGCATGAATTAATAAAAGCACTTTTCATAGATGGGGTTGTTACATAAATTATAATACATTTATACGGTGGAATGCTATATAATTGACAAAAAAGTGAAATAGCTGTGTATATGCTAAAAATGAAATATCTCTAAATGTGCTGAGAAAAATAGTAGGTGATAGAATAGAAGGAATTTGATCTTTTAATATATAAAATTATGTAACATAGGAAATTTGTTTTTTAAATCAATGGGGAACAAGTGAAAATCCTTGCTCTGTACTCCTTGGAGAGAGAACCATTACTGACATTTTGTTGTTTAGATTTTTCTATTGATTACCATTTTAACTTCAAATAGTATATCTCTTATTTAATCAATTTTAAACAAGATCTATTTACTCCCCATATGAAAGATAAGCTTAACATACTCATAATGTTTACCTAGCCTTCCTTTGGTATCTTTCACGTTTTTAGTCATTGTTACTAAGTGTGTGATATTTAGTTTATTATTTTACCTATAACTGAGTCTTTTTCTATTCTGAAAATTATTCTAAAAGACCTGAAAGTGATTGAGGAACTTTTATAATTATTATTATGTTTCATTATTGGGCATTGCAAAACCAAATGATTTTATTGAACTCTTTGAGAAGAAAACAGTCATAGTCATTGAATTAGTTTTTATTAAATGAAATAATTTGTCAAGGTCTACTAGATCTTTTTCTTTTCTTTTTCCCCCTTTAATGCCAGGCCTATTATTTCCTTAAAAGCTGTATTATTTAATATTATTCAGATGTAATTGAAAGTTTGAAACCTCCCACTCACCCCCCACACACACACACAAGAATCAAACCCAGGGCCTCTCACATGCTGGGCAAGCACTCTACCACTGAGCTACAACTGCAGCCCCCAAAACTGAATTTAAAAACTACTACTACTACTACCACTACTACTACTAATGATAATAACAATGTAGTTAGCTTTATTTATGCTGATGTATATAATTTCAGAATTTTTTACTTCCCCTCTAAATAATTTAACAGGCATTTTCTACAAAATAGTTACCTTTTTCTATATACCCAAATTAACATTATCATACTTTTTTGAGATTTATTATTATATATTTAAACTAACTTTTTTTTTTTAAAGATTTTTTTGTTTGTTTATTTGCTTTGGTACTGGGGATTGGACCCAGGGGCATTTTACAACTGAGCTACATCCCCAACCCCTTTTTAAATTTTTTAAAACTTTAAGACAGGGTATCACTAAATTGCTTAGGGCCTTCTAAGTTGCCCAGGCAGATCTTGAACTTGGATCTTTCTGCCTCAACCTACTGAGTTGCTGGGATTACAGGTATGCACCACTGTGCCTAGCACCATACTTCATTTAGGGTTTATTTTAATGTGAAATAGAACTTTCCTCTCATCATCTCTGCTTCTTAGACTATAGTGACATAGTTTTACTAGAAAGGCAGGATAAATGCTTACTTTTTTACCCCTTTAATTACCAATTTCAATTTTTAAAATAAAATTTTAATTTTTAAAATAGGGAGTTGATTATAATATTGGCTTCATCAAATAGTAACAAATAGCTTCCTCTTTGATATCATTATGACCTCATGGATTTTTTCTTTCTTTCTTCTTCCCTCCCTCCCTCTCTCTTTCTTCTCTTTTTTTTTTCTTGGTGCTGGGGATTGAACCCACGACTTCGTACATGCTAAGCACGCGTTGTATCACTGAGCTATATCCCAAGTCCTGGCCTCATGGATTTTCATGGATGTACATAAGTAAATATAATCATTCTTTTTGTGCCCATCTGGTCTTAGCTTTATTTATCCTTTCATCAGTTGGTGGACCTTTGAATTATTTCACACTTAGATTATTATAAATATTATTACTATGAACATTCATGTACAGGTTTTTGTTTAGATATGTTTGTTTGCTTTCTTTCTTTTTTTAATATGCTGAAGAGTGAAATTGTTGGTCATGTGGTGTATTTTTGAAGAACTACCAAACTGTTTTTCACAATAGCTGGACCATTTTATATTTTGATCAGCAGTATATTCCAATTTCTCTACATTCTCACCAATACTCCCACCCCTCGCCCCCTTTCCTAGTAACTGGAGTTGAACCCAGAGCTAATGCATGCTAGGCAAGGACTTTACTGAGCTACATTCTTGGCCATTTTTTGAGTTTTTGTTTTGAGGCAGATTCTGAGTTGCCCAGGCTGGTTTTAAACTTGTGATCCTCTTGCTCCAGCCTCCTCAGTCTCTGGGATTACAGGTGTGGATTATCATAGGTGGCATGTTTTACAGTTTTAAACATCTAGATTTTGCACTTCTTTTGTTAAGTATCCTTCTTGATTACTTGTATTTTAATAGTATCCATTTAATTTAATTTTCAGATTGGTGATTGTTAAGAGGATAGAAATACAGCGTGTGAGTGTGTGTGTGTGTGTGTGTGCGCGCGCACACGCGCCAGGGTCTTGTGCATGTGAAGCAAGCGCTTTATCAACTGAGCTATGTCCCTGCCCACATAGTTTTTTTAATGTTGATCTTGTATGCTACAATCTTGCTGAAGTCTATATGTTAATTCTGATAGTTTTTTTAAAAGGATTTTTTGCATATAAAATTGTTTCATCTGAAAATAGTCAGTTTTACATGCTTTCCATTCTGGGTGCTTTTATTTTGTTTTCTTGCTTAATTGTCTTGGCTAGAACTCAAGTACATCATTGAATATAAGTTATGAGAATAGACAGTCTTGCCTTGTTTCAGGTTTTAGCACAAGCATGAAGTCTTTGAAAATAAGTATGATGTTCATTGTGTATTTTTCAAAGATGGCCCTTTTGGGGGGTTAAGTTTCCTTTAGTCTGAGTTTGTTAAATGTTTTTAACATGAAAGAGTCTTGAATGCTTTTTCTACATTTATTTAAATCAAGGTATCTTTTTGTCTCTGAAGTCTACCCACCATTTTATTTTCCCATTAATAGTGCTTACCATGTAGTAGATGTTTTACTCTGAAATTTTCCCTTTTTATCTTAGAAAAATTTTATTTTACTGTCTCATTCTTTTCTTTTGTTTTCTCTGGAAAGCCTAATGGAGTATTGGAAAACTCTGCTTAATTCATAGCTGCAGTGGCACCAGGCTAACTGGGCAGATTGTGTTATCATTGTCCTAGGACATTATTCTGAAATTTGACTTTGTGGGAAAGTGGAAGCTATTGTTTTTCAGTTTTGCATTTCTGGTGTTTAACACAGGACTTGGCATAGAGGTCCACAATTAATGCTCAAAATTAGAACATTTTCCCCATTATGGGCTCATGTTGTCACATTAGGATTTTATATTTGTATATACCTTTTACCTTTTAAAAACATTATTTTCATTTACATTTGCTTTCCTAACAACTGTAGCCCACTTCCTCAGTTAACTTTTACACTTCTTATCATATGTATTTTTACAGAAAGATTTTAGAAGTATCCCACTAAATCATATTTTAGTACTATCAGTTTGCTGGAAGAAAACTTAGGGAGACTTTGCTAAAATGCTCATTTTCTATCAAAATCTATAAATTTATAGAAGAGCCCTTTAGTTCAGTCAAATTTATTTAAAAACAATATGAAAATAAAAGATTGCAAGAAGCAATCTAATGATAACCGAAGGAGACAATACTTGTATTTATAGTGCAGTGTAATACTTAAGGTTCTTAATGATGACTCCTAATCAGTAAGAAACAGTTGGTTTTGCTGAAGTTTAGAAAGGGTACAGATAATTTTCAGTTGTTTGGAATCACGTAGACCTGGCTTTTAATCACAATTCTGACATTTACTGGCTGCACAAGTTGTTTAACAGCCTCTTTGAGGTGAGTTCCTCTCTTTTACCTTCTCTGAACCCTATATCAGTCTTTTCTCTTTTCCTAGCATCTTCTTCCATGTTCTTTACCTGGAATGATTCAATCATCTCCTGTCTTTAACTCTGATTACCTTTAGATCTTTAACTTTTTCAAGTCAACCCCTTTATTCTAGATTAGCTTTCATATCCTATTGTGTGGTGTTAAAGTACTTCTCCTAATTGTAATTTTGCATTTGTTACAATTGTTCTTTCAACAGTTTCTTTGCACCCGTATTTGAGTATTCATTAAATCTTCTCTTCATTTTTAAGTTTCATTAAGGCAAAATAAGGATCAATGGTTTATGTTCATCTTCTTCAGCCATGTGTCACAAGAACCCAACACAGTGCTTAGATAAAGGGACTACTCTATAAATAGTCAGTGAATGAAGAAATAAAAATTGAGTTAGTTATACTGCCCTCCTTAAAAGACTGTTGTGATACTTCCATGAAATAATGTGTAGGAACTCATTAGCTTACTTACCACCTAGCTGTAATAGTTTGCTCTGGTGATTAAGAGCAGTTATTGTGGATGCAGACAGCCTCCAATTCTAGTTCCCCCACTTACTAGCTCTGTGATCTTACATAGTTATATGTAAATATTAATATTTATCAATACATTTAATTATTTAATAATTGATAGTTATTAATAATATATCGATATATTTATTAATGTATATATGTAGTTTTTTGTTTTTCTGGGTGATACTAGGGATTAAAGCTGGGGCTTTGCACATGCTAGGCAGGTTCTACTATTGAACTACATCCCTAGCCGATTTTAATTTGAAACAGGGTCTTGCTAAAGTTGTGTATGCTGGTCTTCAAGTCATGATCCTCCTATCTCATTCTCCTGAGTAGCTGGAATTAAGAGCATGTACCACAGTGCTCAGCTGATTTGTATATTCTTTTTTTTTTTTTTACTATTTATTTTTTAGTTGTAGTTGGACACAATACCTTTATTTTGTTTGTTGTTATGTGGTGCTGAGGATCAAACCCAGGGCCTCAAATGTGCTAGATGAGCACTCTACCACTGAGCCACAAACCCAGCCCTGATTTGTATATTCTTTATCTGTAAAATGGAAATAATAAAAAATTCTTTATAATACTTTGTAAGGATTACATGTGACAATGACTTTGAAGCATGTAGTGTATACTTATTACTCAATAAATGGTTATATTACTATTAATATAATAATGAGTAAGAGCAATAATTCAAAAACTTAACCACTGAGCCCCACACACCAGCGCTTTTTATTTATTTATTTGTTTGTTTGTTTGCTTTGAGGCAGGGTCTCACTAAATTGCTGAGGTTGGTCTCAAAATCGTCCTGCCTCAGCCTCCAGGGTCACTGGGATTACAGCCATAACAGGATTATATTTCAGTGGTAGAGTGTTTGCCTAGCATGACTGAGATTCTTGGGTTTGATCCCTAGTGCTACAATAAATAAATAATAAAGATGCTTTAGAATGTTCAGTTAGCAGTGAGAATATTGGAGATTAGCCTACAGTTTTATACACATAGTGTTTATGGATAATATTGGTGTATTTAGAGAGTTTTCTGAATAACAGTTTGTAGTCCTTTCTGTCTGTACTCATGTGTATCCCCTATGCATTGGATGTTTCACTTGCCTTTTCTGATAAAGACATGTTGAAACATAAGTGAAAAAAGCAAATAATTATTGGAGGAATGTGGGGACAAGTGCATGGAGTACTGTATGCGTGGCATATGTCAAGGGCATCTGAGTGGCAGGCCACTCCCCTCATGCTAGGCACATGAGTGGCAGGCTGCATACCCCGTAGGCACAGCCCTGGGCGTGAGGCCATGTGTTATGTAGTCCCTGCGCTTGTTCCATGGCCCACTTCTCAATTGTTCACTGCAAGGACACTTAGCAGAAATTGCATTGGTGGCTGCCTGTAATCTGCTTAGCTACTGGCTGAGTATATATACATGGTAACTGCGCAATAAAATCACACCTGCTTCCTGCTTGGTTCTCTGGAGGTCTTGATTAGCGACTTTGCAGCCACAGTCTCCTCTACCCTGTTCTGTGGACGTCCTCGCTGGACAAGAGAGCGCTCATGAAGGAACTGTCCATTTCTGTAACTTAAACATTTAAAAAATTCATTTGTAAGTATTTGATACTTTGAATCCTATTTAGAAGGTTTGGGGTATAGCTCAGTAGTAGGGTGCTTGCCTACCATGTGAGAGACCCAGGCTTCAAAAATAAATTAATTAAATAAAAATAAAACCTGTTTATAGAAATATAGTCTTAAGCTACCATATCTAGCCCTTGTATCTCATTCAACTTGTTTTGCTTTCACCTTAACCTTGTGGCCCTGACTTCTTCTTTTTTTTTTTTTTTTTAATCTTTATTTTGTTGATTTATTTTTATGTGGTGCTAAGGATTGAACCCAGTGCCTCACCTGTGTGAGGCAAGTGCTCTGCCTCTGAGCCACAACCCCAGTACCCCTGACTTCTGACTTTTATCAGATAGGATTTATTTTATATAGAAGTAATTGTTTGTATTCATAAAAATGTTTGTGGAGAAAGCTGCCAAGCCTTTCTGTGATTGGTGGTATACCTTTATTATAGGCTCAGCAAAACAGTCCCTCTTCCACAGGATCTGGCAACACAGAGCATTCCTGCAGCTCCCAAAAACAGATCTCCATCCAGCACAGACAGACCCAGGTACGTTGGGGGTTGATAAACAGTGGAGAAGTTCTGCTTAGGAGTAAACCTAAACATGTAGAAAATCTGTGATTCCTCACTTGATCTTCCCCTTATATCTTTGACTGTATCTCTTTTGTGTGCATTATATTCAGAATTTGCATTATGAGTATTTAAAGTTTTTGTAAAATGTGCAATAGCTGTTTGAGGCTTTTCTTTACCTTTCTGGTGTATTGTAGCAGAAATGGTTTTACTTCAGCATGGAAAGAGTATACACTTTGAGGTCTCTAGGCTTGGGTTCCAATTCTGGTTCTGCCGCTTATACTTTGTCTTCCTGGGCCTCAGCTTCTTTTAGAAGAAATTATGTGTAAAATGTGGTTGATCCTTATTACCTCAGACAATGTTTACAAAATGCTTATTAGGAAAGTGCTTACAGTATACTTTTGATAAATATAATTACCTACTTTCTGGAACTAGTCAATTTATGTATTCCTTTACTTCCCTTGCAAGACCGAGCTAAACTTAAGTTGTGCTATACCAGTATAATTTCCTCGATAAACAGTCTTCAGAATTTAGGGAATGTTGTGAACATTTAACAATTGTATCTGAAAAGTATAATAGATATATCCTCCCTTTCTAGTGTTGAGTTAACCAGTAGTATATTGGGTGTTCTTGCAGCCTCTTTTGGCACTCTGTTGCTTTCAAGACGGGAAGCCTAGCAATCTAGAATTTCTCATCTTAAAACTTATGTGACCCTGTGGAGTTTAATTTTATTTGAACCACCAGCATCTAGATGGTTAAATAGACTTTTCCCCTTCTGATTGCTCCCTATTTCCACTAGATGGCATGTTTGTTCCTTAGAGATTTTTGGTCAAGTTGCCCTTTGAGTCCTTTTTTTTTTTTTTTTTTTTTAATATTTTATTTTACTTGTTGTTGAACACAATACCTTTATTTTTATGTGGTGCTGAGGTTCAAACCCAGGGCCTCACACGTGTTAGAGGAGCGCTCCACTGCTGAGCCACAACTCCAGCCCTTGAGTCTTTTTATTCAATTCATTTCATTTTTAGAGTACTGCAGTTCTATTTTATTCAATGCACAGTAGTTTTGAGAATTTTCATATTTGATTCCAGAATTAGCTTGAGTTTTGACATGCTGGTGTAGTGAGATTTTAGGAACCCATAGTTAAGGTTTGAAGATTGGGATGAGGAAAGTGAATTTAATATCCTGAGCCACATGATTCCAGGCCATTTTTGTAAGCAGATACTTTTTTGCAGAAAAGTAATGAGTCAAATGTGTTGACATGTATTATTTTGAGACTGATCCTAAATTTCTATTGCCTTTGTCTTTGTAGTCTGACCTCACAATAGAAAAAATATCTGCACTAGAAAGTAGTAAGAATTCTGACTTAGAGAAGAAAGAAGGAAGAATAGATGATTTATTAAGAGTAAGTATTAAAATATAAGAAATTTTATAAAAAGTACTGTTATATATGTTTGGATTATGTGCATAGCACGGAAATAATTACTAAAGCCAGATAATTAAGTTACTTTTCTTTAATCTGAGGGAATCTAAGTGGGAACCAGGATCATACATACTTTCTCAACAGTCTTTACAGTGGAAATCTTATGTTGTATATTTTAATATTTTTATTTAGAGAATTAGATATGTGGAATGTTATATTTCATCCAAAACTGTGGGACTAAGTATGTTTTCACATTTTAGGGAAATTATTTTATTCTTTAATTTAGAAAACTAAATTAACAAGGATTTTTTCAGTGCAGTTTTTATTTTGTGTCTTTCAGTAACCTTGTCATCTAAAAATTTTTTGTGCATACAAAAGAAACACCTAGTCTGAAATTTACCTTTGGAAGATGTACCATGATATTTTCAAAATATATTCTGAATATGCAGCTTGGCATTATTGACCCACAGTTGTTTTTTTTTTTTTTTTTTAAGAGTAAAATGTTTGCTGGGCACAGTGGCGCACACCTGTAAGCGGTTTGAGGCTGAGGCAGGAATATCACAAATTCAAAGCCAGCCTCAGCAAAAGCGAGATGTTAAGCAACTCATTAAGACCCTAAATAAAATACAAAATAGGGCTGGGGATATGTCTTAGGGGTTCAAGTATCCCTGAGTTCAATCCCTGGTACTGTCCCCCCGCCAACAAAAAGAATAAAATGTTTATTGTTTTCCTTTTATAATTTTTTTTTTGTAATAGAGAATACAGAATGATTAACTAGGATACACATTTTGTACATTTACTTCAGATAGTGTGTGTGTGTGTGTGTGTGTGTGTATGTGTGTAATAGGAGATTGAGCCCAGAGGCTCTCTACCACTGAGCCATGTCCTCTGTCCCAGCCCTCCCTTTTATTTCTTATTTTGAGACAGGGTCTCACTAAATTGCCAAAGCTGACCTCAAACTTGTGATTCTCCTGCCTTGGTCTCCCAAGCCTCTGGTATTACAGGTGTGTACCACCATGTCCAGCCCTTCAGTAATTGTTTGAGCCATTCATAACATATACACAACTATTACTGATTTATAAATGAAATTGGCTAGCATTTTCATCTTTCCAGTGATTTAGAATGAATAGGTTTGACCTTTATTTGTACTAATGTAGTAATTTCTAACTGTCTCAATGGACTATGACATGTTAGGGTGGGAATCAGCAGCCTTACTTTGATCAATTGTTTTTATTGGGCTTTGGAGTATCATTTTGTCTGAATAAAAGGATGTTTAATAATAAAAATGATTTAAAATGACACTAGTTGTCTGCCTTTCGAAAGATTTTTATTTTTATTTTTTATTTCTATAATTAATCAAAATATAGGGTAAAATAGCTTATTTCTACTTTGTTTTCTGTAAGACTTAGCATTGATCCAAACCATAAATATGCTCTTTATTAATAAATTCTGTTATTATTACTATTTTATATGAGAATAATTTCTTACATTTGTGGGAAATTTTATGTTCAAATTTACAGAAATAGGTTTACAGTTCATTGTTGCTACTTTTTTTTTTTTTGGTACCAGGAATTGAACTCTGTGGCACACATCCACTGAGCCACATCCCCAGCCCTATTTTGTATTTTATTTAGAGACAGGGTCTCAGCCAGGCATGGTGGCACATGCCTATAATCCCAGGGGCTTGCAAGGCTCAGGAAGATCACATGTTCAAAGCCAGCCTCAGCAAAAGTGAGGTGCTAAGCAACTCAGTTGAGACCCTGTCTCTAAATAAAAAATTGGGCTGGGGATATGGCTCAGCAGTCGAGTATCCCTAAGTTCAATCCCCAGTACCAAGAAAAAAAGCGGGGTGCGGGGGGTCTCACTAAGTTGCTTAGTGCCTCGACATTGCTGAGGCTGGCTTTTTTTTTGGGGGGGGCATGCTGGGATTGAACCCAAGGCCTTGTGCAGGGGAGGCAAGCACTTTACCAACTGAGCAATATCCCGGCGCTGAAGCTGGCTTTGAACTCACAATCCTCCTGCTTCAGCCTCCTTAGCCACTGGGATTATAGGCTTGTGTCACCACGTCCAATGTTGCTTTCATTTTTTTTTTTTTTAACATGGCCTTTGTCTTTTTGTTTCATCTATTAATTGACTAAATTATTACACTTTTAAGTAATTATTTTTTTCAGGAAAGCTATGTCAGTGTTAAATTCTCTGTGCCCTTATAGAGCTGGGAAATTCTTTCCTTTACCCTTTCATGAAAAAGACAGCACTCTCTGTAAGATTTTTGTGTTATAACCTGTTCTGTTTCCCAGGTATCTCTTTCTCTGTGTCTCTCTCTATCTCTCTCTCTTTCTCTCACCCCTGCCTCCTTCCCTGTCTCTCTAACATACACACATACACACCTTTGATTTTTCTAGCATTTAGTGTATCTGAGAATCCATGGCCAAAGGAATAAACAACCTGTCAAATTTTACCAGGTTACATCTATGTGTGAGTGTCTCTATTTTTTATTCTGAAAATGTGTGATCATACCTAATTTACTGTTTTTCCCCCCTTTTTATTATTGATTTTCCTCTTTGGTTCCTAACTTCAGTCTCTGATATCTTGGCTTCCTGACATTTTATGCTTCATTTAATATGATTGGCCCTTTCTTCTGGATCTTTAAAATGTTGTTTATCTTCTATATATTTTCTGCTATTTACTTGCAGTTCATGTGAATTTTGATTCTGTTATTTACATTTTTTTGTTACTCGATTTCTCCCCCTTATGTAATCAATATACTTTCTTAACACACCCTGTATATTCTTTATGGTTTTTTGTTTCCTATTTCACACATATGTCTTGCATTTTGTAGAGTATGATGGACAATATTTTGAAAATATCCTTTTAATATCTGTATGTGACCATTTGCCTCATTTGAAGCTGATGTTCCCTTTTCTTATTCAGAAATATATTCCTTAGGCCTATTTTTATTTATATCTTTTTCTCCAACTTTGAGTGAGGAAAGCCATGAAGACTCAGCACCTGTTTTACATCTTCGTTGTTCACTTGCTTAGAGTTGCTCTTATTCTTGTTTTTATTGATTTGAGTGTTGATGGAATTGCTACCTAAGATACATGGAGTATCCTTTGGGTATAAATATTTCCAACATTTGGAAGGATTTTTGTCCAAAGTAACTTTGCTGGACTACAAAAGGATACGGTCTTGTTTTTTTCCTTCATAGCCTCATGAGGCTGGAGTATAACTCAGTGGTAGAGTGCTTGCCTAGCATGCATGAGACCCTGGATTTGATCCCCAGCATGGTGGGTACAGGTAGAAGAATTGAAATAATTTGTGAAAAACTTATCCTAGCTTGGTTTTTGTTGGTTTGTTTGTTTTGTTGGTTTGTTTTTAAAGTTTATTTTCATTATTCAGAAGGCAGTATACTTCCTTAACTCACCCTCACCCTCTACTCCATTGCCTTTGGTGGTGGTGAGGGGCGGGTGCCAAGGATTAAACCCAGGGCCTCATTCATGCTAAGCATGGACTCTGCCATTTTGTTATACCCCCAACTCCTACTCCATTGTTTTTTGAAGGTTGTACTTTTATATGGATATAGATTAGTAGTAAGGGAATAGATCATGCAAAAACAAAGACACAGAGGTCCAACTGCCCTTTTTTCAAGTTGGTTAGAATTTGTGTTTTGAATCTAGAGGATAGGCAGTCAAGGAGAGAGACCATAGGTTTTTATATCTGCTTTCAGATATAAAATGAATCAGTCATTGATCGAGTTTTCTTTTTTTGTCAGATGTTGGGTATGGCTGTGCTGGGCACTATTAGCCAGTTTCCACTTTAAACATAAACTCATAGAAGTTGTTAGTCCAGAAACCATAAACATTTAGAACTTTTAAAACTCTCAACTGCCAGAGGTTAATTGATTGTAATTGTTTACTTGATTTCAGATTTCGAGGAAACATTTACCTTCTAAAAGTAGATTGGATTTCACATAAACATTACATGGTTGCTACTCTGGAGGCTGAGGCAGCCTGGGCAACTGAGTGAGACCGTATCTCAAGATACAAATTTTAAAAGGGCTGGAAATGTAGTTCAGTGGTAGAACATCTCTGGGTTGAATCTCCATTACCACAAAGAAACAAAAACCTATTATATCATCTTAGCTTCTTATAGGTTGTTTAATATGAATAGGTCACATTTGTCAAAAAGTACAATATAGTTGTACTTTTTCATCTTTAATAATATGGTCTCTACGACTAGAGTCCTGAGAAAAACTAAGTGAAGCATTGTGTTTATGGGGAGAATAGAACCATTTGAAGATGAAGCTGTTTCATACAGGTCACTTTAAAGATGAAGCTGAAAAGTCTCAAAAAGTGAGAGTCCTATAATATCTTCCTTTTGTGCTTTGTACAGTTTCAGAAGTGCTTGAATCATTTGTTTGGAAATAATAGATTTTTTTTCACAATTCAAGGATGTTATAAGGCAGCATTATTTGCCAAATAAGTGCAGATCTTTTGTTTAATCCAAGAAGAATAAATTCAGGAGTTGCAAGTCAAATTTGATATTAGCTTAGTAGTTCTTACATTCTCTGTTATTGTAAGGAGGCTTGAATTTTTCAAAATATTTAGCCTATTCTGTAGGCCCCTGACCACAGCTAATTAAACTGTGCATTTACATTCCAGCATTCTTGAACTAGATCCTATCGGTTAGTTCTGTGTTAGGTGGGCACAGGTGTGCCTGGCTTCTCTGGTAAGAATCATTTATGAAAATTCACCTTTCTTTTTCTTTAGAAATAGGAATTAGAAAGCAAAGGACAAATTGAACTTAAAGAACATTATATGGTTTAGAAAATATTCTGTACTTTTTTGTAAGTGCTTAATCACTTTCAGTAAGTATTTAATATGTATATTGTTAATCACCCCTCACACTAAATAGTCATGGATTTTTCTAAATTTTATTGTATTTTGTGATGGTTTAAACACTTGTGATGTACACAATGAGTTGTATCTGGGTATTGGGAGGAGTAAAATATGATTAGTAGAAAAACATGCCTATTTCTAACAACAGAATTCATTATTGATGAATAGATATATTAAGTAAGATTAAAAGGATGAATTATTTACCTTTTAAAAAGACTTGGTTACTTTTATCTCTTTGAATCTAAATTTTGATTTTGATTTAATAACAGAAATGATTTTTCTCTTTCCCTAGAAACTACTTTTCTATTAATCTGTCTTCTTTGGAGCTAATTAAAAACATGTTTTTCCATTGAAGGCCAACTGTGATTTGAGAAGGCAGATTGATGAACAGCAAAAGATGCTAGAAAAATACAAGGAACGATTAAATAGATGTGTCACAATGAGCAAGAAACTCCTTATAGAAAAGGTTAGTGCATTAATGGTGGCCTGAGCTCTGTATTCCAAGATACATAATGTATGTCATTGAGTGGCTTTTTACTTCTTACCTGAGATGAAAATATTTTGTAAAATAGGGGTTTTAGAAAAAGACTTCTTGTTTTTTGATAATTAGAATTATTTTCCTTGCATGAACATCAGGTGTGCACCATTGCTTCCGGTTTCTTTGCATGGACATCAGACCTAGCCTCCGGAGTGATAAGAGGGATATACCTTCTGGCTGTTTAATTGTTTTGAGTATGATATTGACAGCTTATTCTAGTGGAGTTTGGTTTGTTTCTTGATCGCCCCCCCCCACACTTTTTTTTTTTTTTTTTTTTTTTTTTTTTTGTGGTGCTGGGGGGTTTGACCTTGTGCATGCTAGCCTAGCATCTACCACTGAGCCATGCCCCTAACCTAGGGTTTGCAATCTTAAATTTTTATGTTTATCTGATTAATTGAAGTGAGTATATTATTACTATTTATAAACATTTAATGATAGTGAGATTTTTCTTTCAAAGATATTTGGAATTCCTTTTGTTTATAATAATGTGATAATTAAGTGCTTTGTGCTTCAAAAAAATGAAGTTGTCATATTTTTGCATATGATTACAAATTGGTGGATATTCCTTTACTATAGTAATTGGTTAGTTGCAGCCTGCCTTTAGTAGTTATTAGTAACTATTTCTTAGAAGTTTTAAAATGTCAGTACTTCCCAATGAAGTTCTTAAAAGATTATGAGCTGGAGAATTGACCATTTTACTGGTTAATTTTCTTGAAAAATTTGGAATGCTGTTAAAGGTTAAAGGAGCATAGTCTTAGTCAAAATGAAAGGGATTATTTTACTGAGATCAAAGATACTAGGAAGAACTTTGCTTCATTTCTTTAATTATTAAACAGTTTTATAGAAGGGAAATTACTTTGTTACATTTTCATGAGAGAGAGAAATAATATTAACATGTTAATACAGAGAATGTATTTAAAATTTCAGGACTCTTCCTGAAATCAACATGGATTCATCCAGTTGTACTAAACTGAGTAGCATAGTACAAAAAAACAAACATAATGCCATCTCCTCAGTTATCATAGAAAAATACAATTTTATATTTGTTAATAATAATAGATAATTTAGATTTGTTTATAAAATAATTCAGTTTTCTAAATATGAGTATTTATCAAATGTCCGGTATACCATGCTGGAGTATAAAGAAACAAATGAAAATGCCACTACAGATTGAGAGGAAATATTAATAACATTAAAAGTTTTTAAAATAAAAATATGTAAAGATTCCTATAATTAAAAAAAATTAAAAATCTGAAAAGATGGAGGTGGCAGTGTAGCTCAGAGATACAGCACTTGCCTAGCATATAAAAGTCTCTGGGTACAATCCCCAGCACTACCCAAAAAAGAAAGAGGAAAAATAAAATAAAATATTAAAAAAATATATTTTTAATTGCAGATGAACACAATACCTTTATTTTTATGTGGTGCTAAGGATCGAACCCAGCTCTTCACACATGCAAGGCAAGCACTCTTACCACTGAGCTACACTCCAGCTCAAGCAAAAAAATCTTGAACAGAAACTTTATAAAAAATTTATAGATATCTAAATGGTCATCATATGAAAAGGTGCTGCACATTATTAGGCATCTGGGAAACTCAAAACTAAGACCATGGTAGGCTGAATACAATGGTGTTCACACCCTATAATTTGAATTACTCTGGAGCTAAGGCAGGAAGATCACAAGTTCCAGGCTAGACTTGGCAATGTAACTAGACCCTGTCTCAAAATTTAAAAAAAAAACACTTAAAGTTCTGGAGGTGTAGCTCAGTAGTAGAATATTCCTTGGGACCAACAAAAACAAACAAACAAAAAAACCAAGTGAAACCATATTATTATATACATATAATGAAAGTAAAAACATTGACAGTATCAAGTGCTGGTATAGATGTGTTGGTGTCCCAATTTCTTATACTAGTAGGAATGTAAAATTGTATAGCTGCTTTGGAAAACTTGGGACAATTTTTTTGTTTATGGTGGTTCTGGGGATTGAACCCATTGAGCCACATCCCTAATCCTTTTCATTTTTTGTTTTGAGGCGGGGTTTCACTAAGTTCCCTGGACTGGTCTCAAACTTGTGATGCTCCTGCCTGAGCTTCCCGAGTTGCTGGGATTACAGGCGTGTACTACCATTCCTATCTGGGGCAATTTCTTATTATTAAATATATACACTTATATGCTTACCATTTGACCCAGCAGTACCACTTCTGGTTTTTACTCAAGAGAAATAAAAGCAAATGTCCACAAACCAATTTGTACAGGAATATTTATAGCAGTTTTGTTCACAGGTGTCTAGCAACAGGTGAATATGTAAACAACTTGTGGTTTGTTCATACAATAGAATGCTACTTGGCAGTGAAAAAGAATTGACACCATATAAGTAACAACATGCATGGATCTAAGAAACATAAAACATGGCTCCTATCCCCAGAGGGCTAATAGTCTATGTGGGGTGGGGGGAATAAGATACATTCACATTCACAAAGAAACCTTTTCAAGTAAGCAGTTTTATTAAGAAATTGGCTGAAGGAAATCAAAAGCAGGGCACTAATTGGGGGAAGCTACAAGAAAGATGTTTTAGGTAAGTACAACTGCAGGTTTATATTGCCTGTCCATTAAAAATACATAGTACAGCTTAGGCAGGAGATTACAAGTTCAAGACCAGCCTGGTCAATTTAGTGAGGCCCTGTCTCCAAACCACACCAGTTTCCAGGAGATGACCCACAGTCACCCGGTGGTAACCTTAATGGTCAGTATAAAGACCCGAGTGAGGCAAAAATAAAGTTAAAATGCACAGTAGAACCAGGCATGGTGGTGTATGCATGTGATTCCAGCTACTCTAGAAAGTGAGACAGGAGATTTGCAAGTTCTGGGTCAGCCTAAGCAATTTAGACTCTGTCATAAAATGAAATGAGATAAAATAAAACAAGGGTTGGGTAATATCCTCAGTGGTAGAGTGCTTGCCTATCATATTCGAGGCCCTCAGTTCAGTCCCCAGTGCTGCCAACAATAAATAATTAAAAATGCATAGGACATTTCAAGTAGGTGTATCCCATGATATTATCTCTCACAGTACTTTGTTCTTTTCCTATAAGTTCTTTATTAGAGTTTGTACTTAGAATTACAGATCAAGAAATTCAATGGTTGTATTCCCCTCTTGGCCATAAACATCATACTTTATACTAAGTGGTCTTATAATTCCTGTCATGTAATGAATGAAGTCCTCAAGAATCAGAAGTACATAAAGTGTCCTGGAATAGGAACCCTGTGGGGAGGTGCACTTGATCTTCCATGCTCAGTAGAGGAATGGAGGATGTTTTCATGTCAGAATCTAGAGTTGGGGAGACAGTAGCCATAGAAGGTTTGGCGCATCAGAGTGGAAGTGTGCAAAGTGATTTTCTTACTTTTTTCTCAGTACTGGGTATTGAATTCAGGGCCTTCCTTGGCCATGCCGAGCGAGCATTCTACTGGTGAGCTATGTACCCATCCCTCAAAGTAATATATTAAGAAGATGAATTGATAGCAGGTCTCTAGAACAGATTGGAGAGAAGAAACTGAAAGTAAAGAAACAGCTTAGTAGTTGGGCATTGCTGTGGTGCAAATATAATATGCTGATAAGATAAAAAAGACTAGGCAGATGGGAGAAATTTTACCAAAGAAGAATTCACGGTTCTTCACTAGCATATCCTGTCTACTTTGGGAATACTGTTTCATCTGAGGAGTCATTACTGACTGTTTTGAGATGTTGTGTGGTTTTTCAATATATTTTCCATGAAAATCTTAGAATTTTGAGTTTCTAAAAAGTGTCTGTCTCCGTGCTAATTTGATGATGAATTCCTTTTTTTTTTTTTTTTTTTTTGATCCTTTTCCCATAAGTCAAAACAAGAGAAGATGGCATGTAGAGATAAGAGCATGCAGGACCGCTTGAGATTGGGCCACTTTACTACTGTCCGGCATGGGGCCTCTTTTACTGAACAGTGGACAGATGGTTATGCTTTCCAGAACCTTATCAAGTAAGTGAATTGTCATGATTAATTGAAAAGTTTGGATTTTTCAAGTTTTCTGTTAATTGTATTAATAATCCTAGTAGTCATAGTCATCTTTTCATTGAGTTTAGTTACCATTTGTATAAAGAAATGTAGGGGGCTGGGATTGTGGCTCAGTGGTAGAGCGCTCGCTAGCACGGGCGGGACCCGGGTTCAATCCTCAGCACCACATTACAAATAAAGGCATTATGTTGTGTCCATCTACAGCTAAAAAATAAATAAATATTTTTAAAAAATGTAGAGAATTAGAAAAGGTCCTGAAAAAATGACAAGTAATCAGAGGAATAGAAAGTGAGTTCTTCATTAAAGCTTAGAATAACAAAAATTGATGAAGGTAAGGAAGGAAAAATCTAGTATTGATATTTTAATTAGGTAATGTATTTGTGCTTGTGTGTGGTACTGGGGTTTGAACGCAGGGCCTTACACGTACTAGGCAAGTACTGTTCTACTGAGCTACATCCCTAAGTAGTGGATTTTCATGAGGATCCTCTTGAGCATTTATTTGGGGCCCACAGAAAAATGAAATGGGTAAGGGCCCATGGCAAGATTTTTTAAGTTAGGTATAAAACAAAAGAAAACCATAGAAGATCCTTATAGAACATGTCCCTGAGGCTCTTTAAAGAGTGATCAGGGATTGGGGTTGTAGCTCAGTGGTAGAGTGGTAGAGTCTTGCAACTTGAACTCTTTATCATAACTTTTGGGTCAAACATTCAGGAATTTATTCCAAAGAGGGAAATAATATTTAAAATCCTAAAATTCTGACTCTGTGAATAGCTGTTATTAGCTCAGAACTGTAAAAATTATATATCTTCTAGTTGTAGTACCTTTTAGCATATCTTACTTATTTTGATTTATTAGGTTATTTCCACCTGAAACTTGAGGGCAAGTGGAAACATTATATTTTTAATCATGGGCTCTCCAACTTTTCTCTACAGATCACAGTGAGTTGGAAGGTTCCAGAGATTGATTAGCTTGTTGAATACAAATTAGTGTGGGGTTACTTTTGAGCAATAATGAGATGTAAATACAGTTTATGCCTGAAAGAAAATAGAATTTTTTTTAAATAGAAATTTAAAAAAAATTTTTTTTAGTTGTAGATGGACACAATACCTTTATTTATTTATGTATTTTTTATTATTTTTATTTTGTAGTTGTAGATGGAGAGAATGCCTTTATCTTATTTGTTTATTTTTATGTGGTTCTAAGGATCAAACCCAGTGCCTCACACATGCTAGGAAAGTGCTCTGCCACTGAGCTATACCCCCAGCCCTAGAAAGAAGAAATATTGATGCTATTTTTAATAATCTGTTATAAGTAACCTCTGAATTACACATTAGTAGTCATTATTTTGTATATGGAACCTTAACCTCCAACTTAGTTGAAACGCGTTTTCACTTCACAAATATGCCTCAAATTTTGGTATAAGAGGAGGTTATTAAGTCAGAAAATACCCTGAAAGGAAAGTAGACTTCAGTTAGGGTAGATATCAGAGGTTTGGAGCAGCGTCTGCTCTGAACTATAAGCACTGGAGCCTGGTAGTAGCTGAGGTGCACCAGGGCAGTCACTCCAAAGTAAGGTATGACACCCATTTCATGGCACCCTGACTGAGATGAGAAAATTGTCCAGTTTCCAGAGTTGTGAGGACAGTAGCAGAAAATGTTTAAAACCTATATTTTCAGACTAGGGATATAGCTCAGTTGATAGAGCGCTTGCCTTGAGTGCACAGGGGCCTAGGTTCAGTCCCCAGCACCACAAAACAAACAAACAAACAAACAACAACAAACCTCTATATTTTTATTAGTAGCCAAAGTCATGCAAAGCTCAGACTGTGTCCTGATTGCTCCTACCACCTTTCTACAGTGACTGCCTTGTTAAATGTCATTTTAGACATTGACTCAAAAAAGGTGGTGGGTTTTTATAGATATAAAATGTAATTAGTTTTAAGAAGTGATTAGGGTTTTGCTGGAAGTAGCAGTATTTTATCTTATTGCTCTGTAAACAATATAATACCCAGAAGGATCTAGAAATCTTATACTAATCAGAATACAAAATGATAATTGTATTATAAGAGCAAATTAAGACCATGTCAATGGGATACCTGACCAGAATTGTTTCCTGTGGGTTGGTAGAATGTTTTTCATAGATCTAAAACTAAATGGTAGGATATGTATCTCTTCCCTTGGAAAGCTATTTTCAGCTGATGTCTCTTAATTATAAATCTCTTATTTCTTAATGTTTTGCTTCAATAAATTATCTTTCTCACTTTCAAAGTAAAAATCCAATTTTTTCTTAGTTACAAATGGACACCTTTGTTTTTTCTTTCTCTCTATCTATCTATCTATCTATCTATTTTTATGGGTGTCAGGATTGACCATTGACCCCAGTGCCTCACATACACTAGGCACACGCTCCAGCACTGAGCAACAACCCCAGCCCCCCAAATTGAAATTCTTTAGTTGTAAAAGGCACTATATATGATAATTTCACAAGCAACAATTCTGTGCATAAGACATTTCATGACATGTAAAGAAGTTTAGTAGGTGAAGTAGCTGAACAACAGACAGCAGTGCTAGGTTTTATGTGAAGAGACAAACTTCAAGACTAGGGGCAGAGGGGATGTAGTACTAGAGATTGAACCCAGGGTGCTTTTCCTCTGGGGTGTACCTCCAGCATTTTTAATTTTTTCTTTTCAGACAAGGTCTAGCTAAGTTGCCCAGGCTGGCCTTTAACTTGTGATCATCCTGTGTCAGCCTTCCAAGTAGCTGGGGATTATATGTATGCACTGCTGTGTCTAGCAAACTTCAAGATATTTTTAAAAAATGGATCAGATAATCAGACAGCCTCATCAGGAGCCTTAGCACAGTTCTTTGGTTCTTACTTTGTTCCTTTGAATGCTCTTTAGTTTTCTAAAACAAAAAGTTTTCCAATAGGCACATGATACCAGATTTGTACATTTCTGGCCATATTAGTAATTTTTGCTTTCAAAGTATGTTTGAACCAGTTGAAAATAGTTTTATTCTTCAAAAGTGGTGTTCTGGGGTTCTAGCTCAGCTGTGGAGCCCTCGATTAGCATCTGCAAGGGGCTGGGTTTGATCCTCAGCACCACATAAAAATAAATAAAGATATTGTGTTCGACTACAACTAAAAATGTGTGTGAGCGTGTGTATTATTTATTTATTTGTTTTTAAAAAGTGGTCTTGTATACTAGTGTTTTTCAATACTTTTTCTTTTTGGTACCGGGGATTGAACTTGATTGAGCACTTGATCCCCAGCCCTATTTGTATTTTATTTAGAGACAGGGTTGCTAAGTGCCTGGCTTTTGCTGAGGCAGGCTTTTTGAACTCCCGATCCTCCAGCCTCAGCCTCCCAAGCCACTGGGATTACAGGCATACACCACTACAGCTCAATACATCTTTTAAAAAAATTCAAATGTCTCAGTGGTAAAGCAGTAAAAATTCTTGACTAAGATTTTGTTTATATTGAAATAAACAACATTAAAGAATCTGACATCCCTACAAAATTTTGATCATTTAAGTGTGGAATATCAGAGGGAACAAATTAAACTTTATAGCTTTGCAGTGCTAATCCTGGTATTCTGATGTGTATGGGGCTTATCCATTTTAAAGCAGTTTCTAGTGAACCATCTGATTCTTAGTCATATGATCCATAATGAGACCATTCATTTTGTTGATTTTCTTGTCAGATCTTGCTTGAATAAGCCATACCATTTCACAGTTCCCAATATATACAAAATATAGCCTGGGGATTTTTAAAAAATTCTCTTCTGAGATGTTCGTGTGTCGTTCATACAGGTCTTCTTTAAAAAAAACCAAAAAAGACTTTTTCCTCCTTCAATAATGTCTGAAAATTTGTGCATTTGTTTTTTGTTTTTATTTTCATTCTTCTGCTAGTTATTGCTAGTGTGGTTGGATCTGAAATACACTTTTGCTATAGAAGATTCCCTTTCATTTCCTTGAGATGCTGTAACAAAATACCATGAACTTGTGGTTTAAAATAACAGAAATTGCCTATAATCCCAGCCTTTTGGGAGACTGAGGCAGGAGGATTGCATCATTGGGTCAGCCTGGGGAATTTAGCAAGATCCTGTCTCAAAAGAGATTTTATAAAAGAATTGGGAATGTAGCTCATTTATAGAGTGCTTGGCTAGCTTTCCTGAGGCCCTGAGTTCTATCCTGAGTATCACAAAACAACAACAACAAAAATATAGGAATTTCTTCATTTTTCTTTTTTTAATATTTATTTTTTAGTTGTAGTTGAACACAATACCTTTATTTTAATGTTGTGCTGAGGATCAAACCCAGGGCCTCACATGCGAGGTGAGGGCTCTACCACTGAGTCACAACCCCAGACCCCAGACCCCACTCCCCAGCCCCCAACCACCACCACCTCACCCCTACGGAGGAATTTATTCTTTTTACAGTTCCCAAGACCAGAAAGTCAAAAGTGAAAGAGTGGCAAGCATATGGGGAAGATCCTTTTTGGCCTCTTCCAGAGATCCTGGCTTGTGGCTGCATAACTTCAGTCTTTATCTTCATCTTCATATGGGGTTCTCCTTATGTATTTCTGTTCCTTCTCTCTTTTTGTGGTGGGGTGGGGGGAGATGAGGGGTTCAGGGATTGAACCCAGGGGCACTTAACCACTGAGCCACATCTCCAGCCCCGCCCCCCCTTTTAAAATATTTTATTTAGAGATAGGATCTTGCTTAGTTGCTTAAGGCCTCACTGAGTTTCTGAGGCTGGCTTTGAATGCATGATCCTCCTGCCTCAGCCTCCTGAGCCTCTGGGATTACAGGCTGCATCACCATGCCCAGCTTGCTCCTTCTCTTTTAAGGACACCAGGCATATTGCATTTTGTACTAAGGGCTTACCCTATGGCAGCACGATCTCCTCCTCCCCCTTTTATTTATTTATTTAGCATTGGGGATTTAACCAAGGGGCACTTAACTACTGAGCTACACCCCCAGCCCTTTTTATGTTTTATTTTGAGGTAAAGTCTCGCTAAGTTATTTGCTTAGGGCCTTACTAAGTTGCTGAGGCTGGATTTGAACTTGTGATCTTCCTGCCTCAGTCTCCTGAGCCACTGAGATTTCAGGTATGTGCCACTGTGCCTGGCTTAACTAATTACTTCAATGAAGTGAGGTCATATTCTGTGGTACCGGGACTAGGACTTTAATAGAATTATTTAGATTTCAGTGAGATGAATTCATTGGGTATTCAAAATTTCTATAGAAGATAGAAGAAATACTCTTTTCATGCTTGTTGTAGGACAAGTACTCTCTAAAACTGATACTACACATGAAACATTTAAGCATCAGCTCCATGAAAGGTACTGTTTTATGTGCTAGAGGATGTAAGAGTTGGAAAGACATGATTCCTATTTTAAGAGAAGTTAACAGTTTATCAAGATAGTGTGGACTTTGTACTCCTCAGATAAGCCTAAATGAAGATTCTCATTAGATGACTTTTGTTCTTCTGTATAAATAACTAAACAGTTTTAAGAATATCAAGAATTGTTGTAGAGAGCTGGGCACTGTGGCACACATCTGTAATCACAGCTACTCAGGAGATTGAGGCAAGAGGATCAGAAGGTGGAGCCCAGCAATGTTAGTGACCCTGTCTCAAAAAATAAAATGAGCTAAGTCAGTATAGAAATCTGTATAACACTGATCTTTGGTGAATCAACTTTCATTCTTTCTCAGAATAGCTTAAGAGTTCCTTAAAGGTGTTTTGGAATCTTTGTATTCTATGCATATGACTCATCTATATGATGGCTGTGGGGCTACCTTCTTGTTGAACATGAAAAGATAAATGTGTGGATTCTCCCTGAAAATAATAAAGTTGATTTCTGAAATCTGAAGCTTACAAAGCACAGGTAGTCCTCTGAGGCATAATGTTGTGGTATTTTCCTAGGCCACTGTAGTTTATAGTTAAAACTTCATAATGTGTAACTATTTCCAGGGAGTTCAGAGTGCTTTGCACTTGGTGCCTCCTAAAAAGGTGGAGATATGAGCTAAAAATGTTTTTCCCTTTTTTTAAATTGGGAAACTTATGTTCAGATAAGGTAAAGGTTTTCCTCAAGGACATTCATTGATGCAGAAGGAACATTACAATTTTAGCTAAGGATTCTCTCTCAACCCAGAATTCTTTCAAGTCACAAATTTTATATATTGGGGAGAGGGGTGAGTAGGAAAAAGCATATCTAATAGTATACAGATTTTTCAGGGAAACAAAACTCTTGAATGAAAACATTCAGTTTACTGTTAAATTGATGTCTTATCAGTGATCTCTAGCTCATGTAGAATCAAGGAGATGTTTGTTTGTAATACTCTGCTTATTTTAACCTTGCTTGTACTATTACCCTTCTACATATGGTAGCATAAATTATATATATTATGGCATCAAACCTAGAGGAATATTGTTTTGTTTTGGTTGCTATTCTATAAGAATATGGAACTGCATTGTTCAAGGAAGAGGTATTAAAAAAAATAGATTTCATTATTCTGCAAGATTGATCGTTGGTTCCAGAAAAGAATATGGGAAAAAAAGACTTGTAGAAAGAGAGAGAGAAGGCAAAGGGAATTTTGACTATCAACTGTAATAGGTGATTTAAAGATGTTAGCCTGTAAATGGTTAATCTGAAATGTTGGTATACTTTTATATTTAAGCCTGTAAGCCTTAGTATTTGTTTGGTGATGGAATACATGAGACAAAAGTGTTTTTTCTTATAATAGAATTTTTATTGGTTCCTAATTTTTAAACTATAAGTTGAATATCCCTTATCTGAAATGCGTGGGACTAGGAGTATTTCAGATTTCATAGTTTTTTGGATTTCAGAATATTTGCATAGACTGTACAGGTCAAAACATTCTTAATCCAAAATCTGAAAATCTCTGAAACTCAAAACCTTTATAGGGATGTTCTACGAGTAGATTTCTTTTTTTAAAGGAAAATAAGACATCTTATTAGTAAGTACTCCAATAGTAATAGTATTAAATTATCTGAAGATTTATAAAATACATTTTATACTGTTTCACTTTATATACCATTCCCTAAGGAGTTACTTCATTAATAACTTCACAGCTAGTAATACTTCATTGGCTTTCTCTGAATATGCTTTTTTAAAGTTTAGATTAGGTGTGTCACCCTGCTCAGTGAGTGGAGATGATTTGGGGGATGCTAGAGGTTCACTTAGAGTAGTGATATTCCTAAAAAGAAAGTCTTGTTTACTTTGTCTAGCATTCTGCAAGCTTGATCTCTTTGTAAATTAAATTTGAGGAAGCTTTAATCCAAACAAAAAATAAAAGGGCACTTGGGACAGTCTGTATCGTCTTTTCTTAAAAACAACTCTTTTCAGGGATTCATACTAGAGTTGTTTTCATAACTGCTAAAAAGGAATCAGAAAATTTTTCTTTGGAGTCAGAAAGTAAGTTCATATTAGAAATTTGGTATTTTTTTTTCTTGTTAACTTTCCCTCTCCTTTTAAGACGTAACTATTGTCTTAAAGTACAGCTTCTTTCCAAATAATCTCTCACTAGTTATTTGGTTTCTTACTATCTGAAGGTTAAAGGCAAATCTCTACTTAATTTAAGGAGCTTATGTTTTTCTGAAGTTTATCAAATATCCAGGTGACAAATTGTGTTTGTTCCTTAGCAGTAAGAACTTGTTTTACTTTCTTCTTCTGTGCACATATTTTATGTCTTTAGGCAACAGGAAAGGATAAATTCACAGAGGGAAGAGATAGAAAGACAACGGAAAATGTTAGCAAAGCGGAAACCTCCTGCCATGGGTCAAGCCCCTCCAGCAACCAATGAGCAGAAACAACGGAAGAGCAAGACCAACGGAGCTGAAAATGAAACGTATGTTCTTTATTGATGTGAACAAATGTCTTATTGAATGGCACTGGGGACAGATATAAATTACAGAGGTCCCTAGTGTTTGAGATCTTTCCCATCACATTAATGGATTTGCCCAACTCATAAAAACCATATAAAATTAACTGACTTTCTTAGTCCTACACTTAGAATTTTGAATGAGAGGGAGAAATAATGTCACGTCTTGACAGCATGATTTTTGTCTAACCATCACAAATATGATTGCTTATGTGTGACTCTAAGTTCTGGTAAATTGGTGTTGTCTTGTGGTGATTACATGGCTACTATTTCAAACTAAAGAATGCTCCTTTACTGGTCAAAAGAGCACTTAGTTAACAGTTGTAAATTTAGGAGTAAGCCAAGAAAAAAAAAACTGTTGTTTTAGGAAAGAACACTTTCCCAGTAACTCATACTTTACTAGGGTCTTTTCCAGTTTTGAAAACCTAGGGAAAATACAAGTATCTTAAATTGAAGCATAGTCATCTTTTGCTCTGCCAGTCAATAATTATTACATAGCTTTCGTGTATAGGAGGGGTTGAAAATCCTGAGCACAAATGTCTTTCTTTTCTATTCCTTTCTCCTTTTCTCTTTATTTGAAAGTAAATTTTCTGTTCTAAGATAGCCACAAATAAAAGGTATATTATATAACTTATTGACTAATATGCCTTTTGTCTTTTTTATGTTTTTGCATCAGTTCACAAAAACATTGTAACCCATTATCCACTTCAAGTATACTACTTGTATTACAGCATTGTTAAAGGTCCATGACATCCCAGACATGCATATTCCTTATTCCAGTGAGAAAGATGGCCTAACACCAATCCTCACCCATACATACCTGATGTGTTGGGAAGTCTTTTCTTTGACATCATTTAGTAAGTCTACATTAAATGCTTATTTTAGGTTAGGCCGTGTTGTGGGAATATAGAGTTGAAGGATACAACCCTAGTTTTAGGAGTTCACAGTTTATTTAGGAGAGATGAGTAAACTTACTAGTAATTGTATAGAGAATAGTGATTAAAAAGTATGTACAGTACGGGGCGGGATGGGGGTGCTGGGGTTGTGGCTCAGCAGTAGAACACTCGCCTAGCATGTGTGACTGGGTTCGATTCTCAGCAATATACCATTTGGTGTTTTTTAAAAATAAAAAAATAAATGTATTCTGTCCAACACAATAAAATAAAAATAAAAAATAAAGTATGCAGAGTAAACTAAGTTTGGAAAATATTTCACCTTATAACTGAATGTTTTAAAACTTAAAGTCCAATTAAAAATTATTTCCTTTCAAAAAGGCCCAGATTTGAAAGAGTCTTCAGACAGATTTAATCTGGTCATTGTTTTCTGAGTCCTGTGTTTATTTTGTGAAGGGACTCTCACTCTAGCATTGCTTGGAAATTATTTTGTGCTAACACACAAAACCATAGGCGTAGGAATGATAAAAACGAGATAGGGGTTTTTTGTTTTTGTTTTTGCCATTGAACCATAATTAGAATTCAGTCTAGGCCAATAGTATGTCAGTGAGTAGTTGCCATCTGGAGTCCTGTGTAAAATCCAAGCTAGGAGGCCTTTAGTTCACTTTTTTAGTTAGAATGTTTGTGACTTGACCCTTGACCAAAAGCCAAAGACAGGCCTCTTAAGTGAATCACTTTATCCTCTCCTGGTACTGAATCTGTTTCAGAGTGAATTCTTAACTATGATTTTTCATTTTTTCCCTTTTTTACTGGTATGAAGTAGACTAATAGATGGAGATATTTCTGCTGCTGAGAGGATAAATTTAACAGCTCAGGGGGATGTACTACTTTTTAATCATTCTATTTTCTTTGAGTTAGGCCTTAAGAGTTTTGTTTTTGGTTTTGTTTTTGTTTTGGTAGCCCTTTCTGCTGGATAGGATAACTTGTTTCCACTTTTGCTATTTAGAATATTCTAAACCTTGAGATTTAGAACACTGATTACTTCTTCATTCTTAAAATAGGAGGATATGATTAGACTTGGTGAAACATGAACTGAGAAATTACCCCATCAAGTTTACCCTTTGAGCATTGGTTTAAATAACATTTTTTATATTCTTCTTTCTACATTCTCATTAAAGTCACAGCACTTTGTTGGATAGGTGTTATTACTTGCCTAATTTTCAGGAAACTGAGTTGAAGAAGTTGACGTTAGTTGCCAAAGGTCACATGGCCAGCATCCAAATCTTGGACTCTTTTAACCCTGTTTTTTCTCCTTGTTATTATACTGTCAAGATATAAGTTATCATGAATAATAAATTCATTGGCTTATTGCTTTTCCCTTTGAAGATTTTTAGACTTATTATTTGATCTGTCTCTTCAATAGGTTTTCATCTGAGCAATATATGAAACAAAACTCATTTTCACAAAATAATATAAACTATAGCTCAGTTATTTTTTTCATTTTTATGAATTAAGCATTTGACTTTGGAAGCATTTCTTCATAGTGCATCTAATAAATCACAAAAGTTTTCTCTTATCAGAGGATGCAAAATAAATTGGTTTTTAGTCATTTTATCTGTGAGTCCAAATTTACCTTGTAGCATACTTGAATATTTCTATTTAAAAAGTCATTATTATTTAAAATTTACTGAAATTTCTACCATTACTTTTCAGGTTAACATTAGCAGAATACCATGAACAAGAAGAAATCTTTAAACTCAGATTAGGCCATCTTAAAAAGGTAACTATATTGAGGAAATCTGCCTGGAGAAGTGTGATTTCTAATTTTTGTTTGGTATGGAAGTTATTTGGTTATTTAAGCAAATAAGTAGTTTCACGTACTGCAGAAGTCTTGAATAGATAATCTCATTGTCATGTCTTGTATAATGATGGGACTCATCTTTTGATTTTCAAGTCAATTCTAGTCACCCAATGACAGTATTTATTCCTTCAGTGTGACCTATTAGTGGATAAGTCTGTGTATATACATTGTAAGGCTTCCCAAGTGGTTATGCATTGAATAAAACATACAGGAGCAGATGGTTTGAAATAGATATTAAGACTCTTGGAATATTTTAAATCACTCAGTGTCTCTTATTTTCTTGACTAACCTAGCTAAAGGGAAGGTGTTGGACCAACCATATTCTAACACAGAGGCACCTAACAGAATTTGTAATTGATTCTGTTCATTGAGATATTTTAGATATATCTTGTCACATCTTAAATTCAATAGCTCATACATTATTGGTAGATGTTATTTATAGTGATGGTGGTCAATAAGCTTTTAATAAACTGCTGTTGTTGTGTATTTGTTTTTTATCCACAAATTGGTCTTTCTCCTTCCCTCCCTCCCTTTCTTCCTTCCTCCCTGGGATGGAACCTAGGGATGCTTAACCACTGAGCTACATCCTCAGCCCTGTTAATTTGTTTATTTTGAGACAGGCTGAGTTGCTTAGGGCCTTGCTAAGTTGCTGAGACTTTGAACTTGTCAGCTTCCCAATCCTCTGGGATTACAGGCATGTGCCACTGTGCCCAGCTTCATATCTTTTTTCTATTGGGTTCTCAAATCTTTTTAAGTTAATGGAATTTAGGTACCAAGTATAATCCATACCTGAAGAAGAGAAGCAGGTGGTGAACCTGATTTTTGTAAAAAGTATTTGCATGACTTTATGTTTATACATAAAATATTTTTACAAACTTACATAGAAACAGTGGTTACAGGGAGTGGTCAAGAAGAAGAAGGTGACTTTTGCTTTTCCTACTGAACTCTGTAGTTTAGATTTTATCTATTATTTGCTAGAGGCTTATTTGTATGATTAAGTTTCTAGTTTTTAAAATATTTTTCTCAGTGTAAAACATCTTCCATTAGCTTTTCACAAGAGCAAAGCCTATTGTTAGGCTGAGGGTATAGCTTAATGCTGGAGCATTTGCCTAGTATGTGTGAGGCTTTGGGTTCAATTCCTTAAATAAATAAATAATAGGCATACCTAACAATTTTTGAAACAAGACTCTGAAAAGGTAGAAGTACCCTGTACCCTGAGCTCTTTTTTCCCTTTTTATTTCAGGAGGAAGCAGAGATCCAGGCAGAGCTGGAAAGGCTAGAAAGGGTTAGAAATCTACATATCAGGGAACTAAAAAGGATACATAATGAAGATAATTCACAGTAAGTAACTTGGGGTATATTGGGTTGGAGATTGCTGAGCACTTTCTGACATGAATTGAGTGGTCTAGAGTAATGTTTTTGCCGAGTATGCATTTGAAAAATGGGTTGGGGGATGTAGCTCAGTAGTAGAACACTTGCCTTGGTTTCATCCCCATCAAGGCCCTGGGTTCATCCCCAGCACCACCGAAAAAAAGGTGGTGGGGGGGGATAAGTGACTCCACAGTGTATTTAGTTCTTTCATAGAATATAATACAGTTTCATTAGCAAAATTATGATCTGCTTTGCTTTAAATATAGATATATGTCATATTTAATATGTAAGCTTAGTATATCTAATACTAGTATTATATATGATAATAATACTAATAATACTAGTATTATAATACTAAGCTTATATATTAAATATATATGTGTGCATATAATATTTGTGTTAGCTATCTGTAGCCATTAGAGAATACCTTACATAAACAATTTAAAAGGTGGAAAGATTTTGGCTCACAGTTTTAAAGTTTTTAGTCCACTGTCATTTGACCCTATCACTTAGGGCCTTGGCAAGTAGAACATCTTGGCAGGATGAACATGATGGAATAGAGCTGTTCATGGCTCATGGCAATCAGAAAGCAGAGAGAATAGTAAGAGTGTGAGTGCCAGGCTCCCATTATATCCTTCAAGGGAAAGTCCAAGTAGGCCTTACTTCCTAAAGTTTCTGCCACTTCCCAATATGCCAACAATTAGAAACCAACCCTTTAACATATGAGTCTTTAGGGAACATTCGAGATCCAAATATAATAGGATTTTTTACATGAGTAGAAGTCAATAAAATGATACAGCTTTGCAACTGTAAATAGGGGGGACTATATTACATATTCACATTTACCTGTGGATCCTTGAGAAAGGGAAGCATGGGCCACAGTATGGTACTGTGGGAAGAATATTAGGTTGAGATGAAACCTGGTTTCATTCAGTGTAACAACTTTTTTTATAAATCATTGAAAGTATGGAATATAGGAAAAGTGGACTTTAAGTGAGAAAGGACTTCTATCACTAATCTGTTCTTTCCCACATTTCTGACTCTGAAACATTTTTTCATATCCACAGCTTATATATTGTCACTAAGCCAACATGAGCCATGGACTGTTCCTCTGCCAAATGGCAGGCACCAGCAGTTACCAATATCTGAGAATTTACTGTGTATTAGGCACAGCACTAAGCGCTCTGATAATCTAATATTTAATGCTCACAATAACACCATCATCTTCAATACATTGATCAGGAAACAAGTTTAGAGAAAATAAGTTTATTTGACCAGGAGACAATAACTGAGTAAGAGAGTCACTGAGCTGCAACCTCAGCTCCAAATTTGAGTCTTTCTAATCTAAACAATTATGAAGTAATGTCATCTCCCCACAGGCATGCTACTTTTTTAAAAATAGAAATAATTTCAGGATTAATAGGCCAAGATTGGAACCAAATAAAAATACTCCTAAAATTTATTTTTGCCACGATCTGGCAAAATTAAACAAATTTATTTCTTTGTTGTATTGTTAGTAAATGACATAAAATGGAATTTTTTAATGGGGAACATAGTTATATCATAGACTTTTTATCTTAGAGAAAAATGAATGCACATGGAACATATAACTTACTTAATAATTACCCATTTTTAAGGCCATATAAAATATTTTGGAATTTTAGTGTGTAGAGTTTTGAAATGATGAAGAGAACATATGACTCAACAAATTTTGGAGGCACCAGATAGCATTATTTGAAAAATCCCTCTAACTAGTTCTAAGGAACTAGTATTTCCCCTTACTTTGTAGCAGGGCAGAAAGGGAGTGAGATCAAGAAAGGTCTAATTGTGGCCACACTGAGACTAGCACCACTATGACTATTTATTATAAATATACTGTGTTCTATGTAACTTTTAGCTTAAAGTTCACTGTAATAATGTCAGACTATCATCATCAGCTAAAATCATGTGTGTGATATGTTAGATAGTCTAGGAACTTTGTGAATATGGAATGCTATAGTCCTTGACCTCAGGATGGTTATACGTTCCCTCTTTCCACAGATTTAAAGATCATCCAACGCTAAATGACAGATATTTGTTGTTACATCTTTTGGGTAGAGGAGGTTTCAGTGAAGTTTACAAGGTGAGTATGAACAACTGGGTGCGAAGATGTAGGATTAGATTTTTGGTTATTACCAATTTGGAGAACATATTAGAATAGTGATAACTGTGAGTTGATGTATACTGGTTGAAATCCAGAAGCTTTAAGAACCTGTATCTTTGAGAAGCCTGATTTTAGTAAATTTAAGTGACCATGTAGGATTTAATATTTCTCTGTTTTCAAGCTTGAAAAATAAGTAACTATATACCAGACTCATTTCTGGGTGGTGGGACTTACGGTGATCTTTAGTCTGGTTCTTTATTTTCTGCCTCATCTGAATTTGCTAGAAATGAGTATGTGTTACCTTTATTCTCATAAATTTTTTTAAACAAAATAGATGTGCCAGTTATTTCTTATGTGAAAACCAGCTTTTTGGGGCTGGGGATGTGGCTCAAGCGGTAGCGCGCTCGCCTGGCATGCGTGCGGCCCGGGTTCGATCCTCAGCACCACATACAAACAAAGATGTTGTGTCTGCCAAGAACTAAAAAAAATAAATAAATATTAAAATTCTCTCTGTCTCTGTCTCTCTTTAAAAAAAAAAAAAGAAAACTAGCTTTTTGTTTTAATAAAGCTCTTGTCTAAGAGTATTTAGCAGCACTGCATTCAGGAGTATCCTCACATAGAGTGATTCAGTGGGGCCAGCAAAGTGCCAACTCCAGAACGTCCAGATTGATTTGCACTAAGTGGGGGTTCAGACAGCTCCAGATCTATATTGTGTTCACCAGTAATTTATCTACATGTTTCTGGCACTTGGTTATAGAATGCAAATGGTCTTCACTGCACACCTTTCCTTCTTTCCTGAGACACATCATTCTCTGTTATGATTTATGTTGTGCCCATATGGATTTACGTGTGAGAAATCTCTTAAGTAAAATAAATTGTTTTGTTTCAGGTAAAAACTAGTTCTACCATTTTTCTTTTTTAAACGTTAATTTTCAATATGATTTTTTGTTTTAAAAGAGAGAGAGAATTTTTTTTTAAATACTTATTTTTCAGTTTTCGGCGGACACAACATCTTTGTTTGTATGTAGTGCTGAGGATCGAACCCAGGCCGCATGCATGCCAGGCGAGCGCGCTACCACTTGAGCCACATCCCCAGCCCCAATATGATTTTATACACACACACACACACACACACATACGTGTGTGTGTGTGTGTAAATGAAACTTTCTTTTTTAACCATTTTTAAGTGTAAAATCAGTGGCATTAAGTAAATTGACAGTGTTGCACAGTTGTCATTATTTCCAAAACATGCAGGTTTTTTTTTTTTTTTTAGTTGTAGATAATCAACATGCCTTTATTTTACTTATTTTTATGTGGTGCTGAGTATTGAACCCAGTGCCTCACACATGTGAGGCAAGCACTCTGCTACTGAGCTATAGCCCCAGCCCTCATATTCTTAATATGTGCTCATAAGTCTGACTGGAGGCCCATAGTCATCTTTTTGTTTCCAAGCAGCTTTGGCGAACTTTGATGTTATAGTTATTCTAGCTTCCTAGCACGAGTTGTGAAATTTTGCGCTACTCGGGAGTTGTTGGTTTCTTGAGTTTGTTAGAGCTGACCCCTTAAAATCACCTATGTGAGTGTCATTTTGGAAGGAAACATTTGCCCTTTTTTTTCCCAGTTCCTTCTATAGATACAGATCTTTTCAGATTTTCTTATTCTCCTTAAGTCAATTTAATTTTTTAAGAATCTTCTATTTCATCTAGATTTTTTAAAAATCCATACATCAATACTTCTTTTTCTCTTATATTTATTTTGTATTTCTTGACTGATAAACTAGAGATTACTCAGTGTTAGTAGTTTTTCTAAGAATCAACTTTTTATTTTGTTGACGAAATCTACTGTTAGGGTCTGCTATTAGGGTATTCTATTATATTAACTTTTGTTTTCATTCCTTCCTTTTACTTTTTTTAAATTTCCCTCCCCTTCCTTTTTTTTACCTTCTTCTATTTTTTTTGGAGAGGATCTCACTAAGCAGCTGAGGCTAGCCTCAAAATTGTTATCCTCTGTCTCAGCCTTCTGAGTCACTGAGATTACAGGTGTGCTTCTTTACCCCTGGATTATTTTCATTCTTGCTTACAAATTGCTTGTAAGTTTTTTTTATTGTTGGAAAAAGAATATAACACTGACTTTACCAGCTTAACCATTATTAAGTATGCAGTTCAGTAGCATTAAGTACACTCATAACATTGTGAAACAGGTCTCCAGAGCTTTTCAGAAACTTTGGCTAATTACCAACTCCCTTTTCCTCCAGCCCTTGGTATCCATTTTATAACTTTGTTTCTATGAACTTGACTACTTTTAGATACATCTTATGTATAGCATCATAAAATGTATGTTTGTCTATTTTAATGACTGGCTTATTTCACTTAACATAATGTCTTTAAGACTCATCCATACTATAGCATGTGACGGAATACCTTCCTTTCTTAATATTGAATAATATTCCAGCCAGGTTTGGTGGTGGATGCCTGTAATCCTAGCTACTCAGGAGGCTGAGGAAGGAAGGTTACAAGTTCAAGGCCAGCCTTAGTAATTTAGTGAGAACCTGTCTTCAAATAGTGATAATAATAATTGTCATCGTCCATTGTATGTATGTACCCCATTTCATTTATCCATTTCTCCTTTGTTGGTTCCTTGGGTTACTCTTACCTCTTGACTATTGTGAATAATGTTGCTGTGAACTTAAGTGTGCAAATATTATTTCAAGACTCAGAAAATGAATTTTTCCTTCATTGTTACAATTATCATTATCAAAATTTGTTCTTAATACTTCTCAGGTATTTTGAGTGACTTCATGATCATTTTTTCCTAGTGCGTTTCTTCAGACATTTTGATTTTTCTGCAATCTGTATGCTTCTTACAGCGATATGTACATTTCATGTAGTTATTCTTTTGCTGTCCTCCACTCTCCTAAAGTCCTTCTCATATAAGTGATAAATGACTGGGATTCAAGATAAGTTGTGGTAGTTGGAAAAAAAAATGACACTTGCAGTGGTATTAGTGCTGTTACAGACTAGGAGCTATTTAACCTGGTTTTCAGTGACCTGAAATGGTTTTCTATAATGAAGTCTTGATAACGTACATGCTTGTAGGTGGACTTCAAACTGTAAGAAAAATAGTTCTTCAAAAGTTTTATTTCTGTGAAATAAGATGATGTCTGAATTGAATGGTGCTTTTAATTTAAACCATCCTTGTTTTGACAAATGAGAAGTTGCCCCGTTTTATAAGCAGCCCCTATTGCGTGCTGTGCTTCACTAGTGGGGCTTACACTGTAAGAGATATGTGATAAGTGATCACCTCTGTTCTAGACAGTGTGTCTTTCACCTGTTGACTTCATCTGTTTGTACATCATGGAAGGTAGCAAGTGGGTGGTAACGGTGTAGGAACTGAAGTAGTAAGCTTTTAGGATGAACCTTTAAAACTAAGAAGAACTGTTCATTCGGATGAGTTCCTCACTAAACTCTTATATGTGGAAGAAATGTACTGTTGTCTTAAAATAGTAGTTTATCAGTTTGTGATTTATACCCAACTTCTCAACAACTCATCTGTAAATTTTTTTTACCCCATGACATAGTACCTACCACCTGGCTGATTCAGGATTACTAGCAGTGGTGGTCTCTGTGGGAAGGCCTGTCCTCTTTTCTGGACAGTGTTGTAAAAGTGACTTAGTGTGATTTTGACAACTATTGCGATTAAAAACTCAATTCATCCAACATTTAGGCATTTTTCCCCTGTTTTTATTTAATAAACAATATACCAAATTACAAGGTGATTTTGTAATCATACCTAAGAATTGTATTCTGAAGGGTCTTTCCCTCCAGGAAGCAAGCAGTATGTGTTCCAGGATTTTTAAAAGTGGTAAGACTTACTGTTGAAGAGTGTGAAGTCCCAGAATCACTGAGGGACAAGAGACAACCTAAGGGAGGAAGGTCTCAAATGAGGAGAGATGACTTCCAGAAAGAGCATTTTTGGGAAAAGGCTGTGAAGGCATGGGCTGATTGTTTGTGGTATATGCTTGGGTTTGTTTTCTAAACCCCTTGGTGCCAGTGTGTCTTGAGACTTCTAAATTATCTAATCACAAGTTTCAAGAAGATGGTTGTAACACCAAAGCAAGTATGTGATGTGTTGTCATTTGCTGCAGTTTTTATTTAATAATGTATTTTAGACTTTGTGTTGCTCTTTTAAGTAGAAGCTTCAAGTCAGTTCCCTGTAATTCTTGTAGCATTTATCTAGAATATAATTTATTCCTTTTCTTTCATAGGCATTTGATCTAACAGAGCAAAGATACGTAGCTGTGAGAATTCACCAGTTAAATAAAAACTGGAGAGGTGAAAAAAAGGAGAATTACCACAAGTGAGTGATCTTAAGTTTCTGATTTTTCAAAATTTAGTAGTAGTAGCTAGAGTTTGAGCACTGTGCTAAGAGGTTTAGATGAATTGATGTTGGTTTTGTTTCATTTAATCCTCCTAACTGCCCTAGGAGAGCAAATATACTCTGATCTTACTGATGAGAAAACTGATATTTACTGAATTTGAGTAGCATTTAAGAAGTGGCTGAGCTGGTATTTAAATACAGATTTCCCTTAATCCAAAACCTCTACTCATAATTCCCCTTCCATTGTGACTAAAAATAGCCCCAATAAACAAAGCCTTGGAAAACATTGTTGCTTGTCTGTAGAAACCAAGTGAGAGTGTTCTTTAGTGGTCTAGGGACCCTGGGGAGCTCTGAGTGGGGCTCTTTGCTACTCCAGTTATTACTTTCTGGAGAGGGGGGTGCTCTTGGTATGCTTGCTTTTTTGTTTTGTTTTTCAGTATCTTTATTTTTATTTTATTTTTTTTGAATTTATTTTTATGTGGTGCTGAGGATCAAACCAAGAGCCTCACACTTGCTAGGCAAGCGCTCTACCCCTGAGCCACAACCTTAGCCCCACATATGCTATATTTCTTTGTTCCATTAATGTCATGTTTTTCCTGTATCACTCTCTTTAAGTTTCCAAACACTGAATTCATGGTTCATTTGGTTTGGAAGCCCTAGACTTAAGTTGCTATTAGGATTCCTGCTGGGCTGAGTTTTGTTACCTTGAAGGTACAAGTATTGAATGAGATAGTTCCCGCCCCTGAAAGGAGATAAGCCCCCTTTGGTACAAACAGCCATCTCCTGATTCTAGAGGCAGCTTTGTGTTTTTTCTCATAAATAATACTTTGGAGGGGAAAAAACAGTGGACTGAAAAGAAGCCTTTTTAGTGGCCTTCTAAATCTCAAGAGGAAAATCAAGCATTTTTTTTCATCAATAAACAGTTCTTGAGACCCAGACCAAGGCAATTCTTACTTTTATACCTGCTATTGATTGGGGACCTGGAAATTCTTTCTGTTCCACACAGATTCCTATGATGCTAGTGATGAGAGCATGTTCCTGTGGCACTAAGAGAAGTGGGGCTTAGCAGATAGGAAAAAAGGTGATGTGTACTTTACACTTGGCTGGCCTGTGGTATATCTTATGTGACAGGCAGCTTCAGTGCAGATATTCCTGAGGAGCAGATACATTATTATATGTTTCAGTGGCTTTATGTATTGGGATGAATGATATATAGCAGTGGATGCCAGGAGCACTTCAAAGAAAGAAAACCATGTGTTGTTCTGACCAGTTATAAGTGAGAATTGTCCTTATTGTATCAAGACTCTTAAGAGTGGCTGAGGTTGTTGGAGCAATGCAAGTGTCCTCTAGTTATCCTTGGAGCCTGTTCTAGCTTTCCTATGTACTCACTGCATAAAACAGTTGACTGTACTAGGGACTAGCCATGGTCAATCTTGAAAATAGTCCCTGTGCTGGAGCTTGAATAGTCTCAAAATCCAGCTTTTAGGTTGACCTTAAGAGACCTTAGGAGAACTGTGGAGTTGCATACCACAGTAATTGCAGGAGGGCAGCCTGCTCTTCTAGCCTTTAAAAACAGTAAGGATTTGAAGCCAGGCCTTTGTCTTTGACACAGTAAGTAGATTGAGTCCTGGTGGGTACGGATTGGGTGTATTCTCACATTACTCTAACAGAGTGAGAGAGCAAGGGAAGGGGATTGTCATTTGTATAAGCTCCTTGCCATTCCAGCTCTGGCTGGCAGTGATACCTTTCTACTGTGTGTTTCCTCATGGCAGGGGAAGGGGGGGTGTCGGGGGGAGGGCAGAATCATGGTGCTTGAGCACCATCGATGTCACCTGTGGCCAGGGACCACTTTCCATTTGTCAGACACAATTAGGAGGAAGTGTATCAAGTTCTTGGGACTTCCATTCTTTCTTGGAGGATATTCTTCAATATTTCCACTTTTTCCTTGAAATATTTGCTTTCTAAATGATATGAAGCCATTCTATGAATTTCAAGCTGCAGGAAATGCCAAGTGTCATTTAACACCTTTGAATTTAAAGAAGGCTTAAATCAAACACAAGATTTTGAAGAGTGCTTTAAAAATTCATTAGGCATGGTGCTGTCCATCTGTAATCCTAGCTGCTAGGGAGACTTGAATATCACAGGTTCAAGGCCAGCTTGGACAATGTAGTGAAATCCTCTCACAAAATAAAAAGAGATAGGGGTGTAGTTCAGTGGTAGAGTATTCCTGGGTTTCAAGCCTCAGTATCTCAAAAAATATAATTGTTGTTGTCATCATCATCATCAAAATTTAAAAGTCTGGAGATGTAGCTCAATGGTACAGAACTTATATTTACAAGGCCCTGGGTTCAAGCAATGTGAAAATGCTCTTACCCTGCCTTTTCATTGCTTACCCATTTTGGGGGATGATTTCCTCATCTCATTTGGAATCAAATCATTTATTTGAGTAAATAAAGAAAGAAAACCTCAAAAAAATTAAAAGTGGTTGTTTTGTTTTATTTTCTTTCTTCCTTATTTTTTCCCCCTGTATATGTATATATAGGCTAGGGATGTAACGCAGTAATAGAGTACCACTGGGTTCGGTCCCAAGAACTGAGAAAAAATAAAGAAACGGGGGGGGGGGCGGTCTGGGGGGAATGAAGCTTGAGAAGAAGCAAAGTTGGTCAGAAGTGGCAACTTGAAAAATAAGTCCAAACAAAACAAAATGTCCATTGGGGGAAAACATATTTAATTAATTACTTTTAGATTTCTCCTTCTCCCTGCTTCCAAAAAATTTTTCTTAAGTTTTGTTTTTTTTTTCTTCAGTACCAGGGATTGAACCCAGGGGGCACTTAACCACTGAGCCACATCACATCCCAGTCCTTTTTAATTTTTTAATTTTGAGACAGGGTCTCACTAAGTTGTTGAAGCTTGCCTTGGACTTGCAATCCTCCTGCTTTGGCCTGCTGAGCTCCTAGGATTATAGGATGTACCACCACACGGACTTAAGCTTTCTTTGTTGTTGAGTATTTTTTATGTATTTTTTAAAATAAAGTGGAATATACAAATTTCAGAAAACATTACCCTTTTTTATTTTTTAAGTTTTATTTTGTTTATACTATGGAAAAATGTCTCCCTCCTAACTCTTACCTTATAACAAAACATTCCAAATTAAATGGTGCTAGATTATGTAAAATAGTTTCCAGTTATTCTGTGTAGAGAAGAACTAAATACGTTAAAAAATTAATCTTGTTGTACAAACAAACTCTGTTGTTCTTTTAAAATTTCATATGTGAATACGTTAGATTATATAATGCATTTTTGTTCCTAGTCTTATTAAATTATTTTGACTTTAGAAAAGTACTTAAGAATGATAATAATCCAGTCATCCCTTGGAATCCTTGTGGAATTCATTCCAGGACACTCACCTGTACCAAAAATCTGCAGCTAAGCAAGTCTCTTATATAGAATGACATAATATTTGCTTGTAACCCATGGACATTCTCCCATATAATTTGAATTGTCTCTAGATTACTTGCAATACCTACTACACTGAGATACTGTATAAATAGTTGAAAAGCCTGTGCATGTTCAGTACAGATGCTGTTGTTTTTCCTGAAAATTTTGACCTACTATTAGTTGAATCCATGGATATGGAGGGACCGCTGTGCATGAATTTTTATAATTTTACATTTTTTATCAATTTATATTTTTATAATTTTACATTTTTTTATCAATTTATATTTTCTTAGGGCAAAGTGAAGCTAATAACACTTGAAGTTTTATTTGTAAGGAGTACGATTTCAAAATAAAAGATAAAAGCATTGCCAGTTCATTTATGTGTTAGATAATCTGTTAATCCAAGTAGTTTATAAACTGAGTTTGATTGTGTGTGTGTATGTGTGAAATAAACCCAAGGATATAAATATTTATATTTACAGTTTTAAAGGAGAGGGAGAAAAGTTATCTTTTTAATTATTAAATCTTTGCTATTTGGATATAAATATAAGAGGTGTGGTTGTAATAGAAGGAACTTGAAAAGGATAAAAAGTTGACTTTTTTTTTTATTGGTTGCTCAAAACATTACAATGATCTTGACATATCATATATCATACATTTGATTCAAATGGGGTATGAATTCTTATTTTTACCACATGTACAGATTACAGGATCACATGATTATACATCCACATTTATACATACTGCCATACTAGTGACTGTTGTATTTGACTTGGTGTAGATATCAATAGAGAAATAGAATAAGGAAACAAACAAATTAGTTGAGGGACCAGATGGATCTGAATGGAATAAATATGTGGAAATGGTAGATTAATGAGAGAATGTTTATAAGTATCTTTAAAGAGTTCTAAAATGCAGACTGAAGTGCCTTCTTGTTAATATTCCATTTTGTTTACAGGCATGCATGTAGGGAATACCGGATTCACAAAGAACTGGATCATCCCAGAATAGTTAAGCTGTATGATTACTTTTCACTGGATACTGACTCGTAAGTGCTGTGCCCTTTTCTTGTAGCAGTTAATATTATTTTTTCAAAGTCTTGAGTATTCATGGAATAGAGGTTAAATCTGGACCCAGGAAATACCCTCTGATGGAAACAAATTTATTAATTTATGGGAAAATTATCATATATAAATTCAGATTTGGGTCAGATGGATATCTCTAGGCCGAAAGTTATGGACATTGTGTGATAATAAATGTTTAACAGTCAGCTTAATGGGGATAGAGACAGGCTTATTTGTAGTGTTTGCCAATTTCTGTAGTATAAATACTTCCACCATCTTCAGTTTTTAGCCACCAATTTAAAAAACAACAAAATGACTTTATTTATAATTCATATACCATAAGACTCATCCATTTAAAAAGGACACAGTTCAGTGATTTTTTTAGTATATATTCAGACTCATGCAGCCATCACCAGAGCTGTTTTTAGAACATATTCATCACCCTAGAAGAAGCCTATACCTTCACTATCATTCCTCTATTTCAAAACACACATCTCCCATCTTTCTCCCCCAGCCCTAAGCAACTGCTACTTTACATGAGTGGAATCAAATTGTAGTATGTAGTGTTTCATTCATTTTTATGGCCAAATAAAAATCTGTTATATGGATTTGCCACATTTTGCTTATCCATTTGTCCTACAAATTATTTAGTAACTGGCTCACAAAATTCCAGAAAACTTAGTAGCCATCTCTTGGTAATTGGCACAAATTAATGCCAGCATGCCACTGACATGGCCCAGAGAGGGTAGGTTAGTCAAAAATCTATACCACATCTTAGAGATTCTCATGAACCCTGCAGGCTTTGAAAGGGTATCAACAAGATGATGTTACCCTGGAACAAGATTATGGATGTGACACAAGTCTAGAGCCTAATGCTTCAAGTTGAAATGTAGTTCATAGGGGTATGGGATATTAAAATTGAAATGTATCTCAGACTCCAGTCTTCTTATTGTATAGGTATCTTTTGAGAACCAGAGAAATGATATGTCTTATACCAGGTAACAACATATACGATTATCCAAGCCTGGTATGGATAAGTAAGTTCTAGAACTTCTGGGCTTATCAAGGAGTCAAGAAATAGTTCAGCACTTGGAAAATGTTTTCTCTGTAATTACAGAGTCAGGCCTGAGTAAGAACATACCTTAGCTCTGGCCTTCAGGTGTTCCCTCAGCCTCCTAAGGTGATCCTAGGAATTTGGTCTATTCAGCCAACAGCTATCTTAAATTGCTACACAGATAATTGTCTGACATTTAGAAATGTCCACAAAAGGCCATATTCTCTTTGGAAACATGGCCTCTCTTCCATCTGCTCAGGGTATCATTCCCTTTTCACTGAGGAGGCCCTTTGCACCAGGCATAGCCGTTTGTTTTGAATGGAGTAGGATTCAGAAAAATAATCTGGTTAAAAGGGCAGGAGTGGGAAACCTGGCTCCACAGGATGGCATGACTGTTTTGCTTTGAGTAGATTCCTTGAATAACAGGTAGAGCCCCCTCCCCCTTTCTAAAATGTAAGTAGTAAGACCATTTCAAAAATAAATATAATGGCTTGGATTACCTGCTGTTCTGAATTATATGTTCACTTTTAATGTGATAAGTTGATTCCATACTATTCTCGAGTTGTTTTTTTTCTTTCTTCCTGTTGTGTATGATGAAATTTCTCCGGAAAAAAAAAAAAAAAAGACCATTGTTTTAGAATGTCTCCTGAGAATTGTTTAGGTACTAAAAGAGAAATTTTATTTCTAGCTTACATTTGTGTCAAAGAATCAGTTCACTGAGCATGAAAATCTGTTTCAGATTTTAGCATCTATATAAATCATATATTTATTTTCAAAAGAGTGATAGCATGCCCTGCTATGTTTCATAAGACGTATAAGCTATAAGCTATTGCTCAGGTTTTAGATTCCATAAGGCCATGAATGTTTGCAGTCAGTTGCAGTGCTTTTTGAAAGTCTCCAGTTGCCCAGAACTCACATTCCTGAGCCTGTGTGCTTTTACTTCTGTTCCTCACCCTTCCCTGCTCTGCATCTAGGGGGGTTGCCTCTTTTTTGTAGGCTGTGCTTACCAAGCTCATACATTAGTTGATGTCCAGCAGATAGGGAGGCAGAGATGCAGGGGATGTGTCTCTTCCCCAAAACCTCACTCCACAGTTCCAGTTTCCCCTGGTGATCCTGGGTTCTGATTGAACCATCTCCTCCCTCTGACCCTTTCGCCTTAGTGTACTAATGGCTCTCTGCTGTAGTTGATCTCTGGGGCTCCTCACTGGTCAGTGTGTTCGCTTAACTCTTCCATTGCCTTTGTGATCAGTTTTTTTCTCCTTAAGTGTGGGGTGTTTGTTTGTTTGCAGTATTGGGGATCAAACCCAGGGCCTTGTGCTTGATAGATAAAACACTCTGCCACTGAGCTACATCCCCAGCCTGTACTAAAGTGTTTTTTGTTTCCTGGCTAGACACTGACTAATAGATCCAACATTGTAACAAGTTAGAATAGTTCAAAAGGTACTCATCTCTCAGAGATATTCAAATAGTTCAAAAACCTTACTTCAGCTTATAACACCTGGGAAGATAGATACCTGACCTACAATGCCACTAATGATATGTAGTCTTAAATGTGGGTCTTAAATGTGTACAGATGTGTTGACATAAAACAAGAAAAAATAGACCCGATACCATGTAATAACACATTTATGTAGCATTATGCCAAACTGCTAGGATACATAATATGTGCCCAATTTTTGGGACCTGGGCAAATTCTAGATTCTTCCTCATAGTTAGCACTCAGGGTTATATAAAATGTTTGCAGTGAGAATTGTGTACTTGATCACAGCATGGCTGTTTAGAAATGTGTGCATGATGAGTATGTGAAGGAGACCCTCACAAGATGTCCAGCTCACATAGCTTATAGTTCTTCTCAGTGTTTTTCAAGTCTGGGATCAAAAAAAACTGTTCCATTGTGACTCTCAGTAAAGTTAATGCCAACAGGGAGGGCATGAGGCTCTTCTCCAAGAGAGCGAGTACTTTTCTTCCATGAACTGCTCCGGTAGCAGATACTGAGTAAAGAATAGAAGAGTGTTTTAAGAAACAGAAAAAGGAGAAGAGAAGCTAATGACCTAAAGTTTTCTCTGGGACTGGTTTAGATCATCTTAATTGGCTTGTTCTTATTCCATGGCTAAATGTTGGTTTATTTGTCTTTAGGTTTTGTACAGTGTTAGAGTACTGTGAGGGAAATGATCTAGACTTCTACCTGAAACAGCACAAATTAATGTCGGAGAAAGAGGCCCGATCCATTATCATGCAAATTGTGAATGCTTTAAAGTACCTAAATGAAATAAAACCTCCCATCATACACTATGACCTCAAACCAGGTATGTCTAACTTTTAGGAGACAGTATTGGTGACTTTTCAGTCTTCCAATTGACCTTTACTTTTTTAAAATATTATTTTAGTTGCAGATAAGCAAGATTTGAGAAAGAACTGTTCTGACAAGTTAGTTTTGCTTTTTCTCTCGTCACTCACACTACATAGTGGTTCCTCTGCTCCAAGTCTTATTTTGATAAGTGCCTCCAAAATGACTTATTTTGCACATGTGCCTTCCATTTCATTAAATTTTGAGAATTTTTCACCTTTTCGTAGATTATCACATAATTTTGATAGTCATCAACAAAGAATATAGGACACATAGGCTTCTTATCTCTCTCTTTTTTTGTACTGGGATTAAATCTAAGGGTTGCTTAACCATTGAGCCACATTTTCCCAGCCCTTTTCACCATTTATTTATTTATTCGTTTGTTTATTTGTTTGTTTGTTTATTGTGTGCCAGGGATTGAACTCAGGGGCACTCCACCGCTGAACTGCATCCCCAGCCCTATTTTTGTATTTTATTTAGAGACAGGGTCTCACTGAATTAGTTGCTTAGCGCCTCGCTAAATTGCTGAGGCTGGCTTTGAACTTGCGATCCTCTTAAGCCGCTGAGATTACAGGTGTGCACCACTATACCCAGTTGTTTTTATATTTTATTTTGAGACAGGGTCTCACTAAGTTGCTTAAGGCCTTGCTAAGTTGCTGAGGCTGGCTTTGAACTTTGAATCTGCCTATCTTAACCTTCTGAGCTGCTGGGGTTGTATGAGTGCAGCACTGCACCCAGCTTTATCTCTATTTTTTTTGTTATCTTCAGCTATTTCTTAAGAATCTACATGTGTTCCATGTAGACAGCTCTAACCAATTCAGTTGGGAGCATTAAGAAGATGGTTCCCATTTACCTCCCAGTGTGGAAAAATGATTAATATTGTTTTACTCTTCTGATAGGTACACATTAAATCTCACTATTTACTATTTTTTTAATGTGCTAAAAAGAGTCAGGTGACTTAAAAATTAATTATAATAAAATGATTTTTAAAAACAACGGCTACTCTGTGACTAGGTTTTCCATCTGTGAATTCAATGCACTTTACTGCCATATGACCTGTAGGTGGTGCTGTGATGTTAGCTACCATTCCTATGTATATATTTTTTTAACACACACACACACACACCCATTCTAAACAGGGTAGAGATTTCACTAAAGTTCAAATGAAGTTTTCCCATCATTATGACCAACTGTACAAGTGATATTTTACTTTGGCAACTTATTTCTGTTTCCAGTGCTCATAGTAGTAATTTTGGCACATTAAGCAGATAATGCTTGGGAAACAGAACTTTTCAGTAGACATCAAGGATTCTCCTGTAGCATCGAGAGTTAGATAGCTTTATTCTGAAGATTTATATGGTTGCATGAATTTGAGTCCAGTTCTTCTCTTTTTGTCTGTTATTACTTTGGATTTTCCTCTTAAGTCTCTGCTTATTCATGAAGATTTTTATCTTTTTAGGTAATATTCTTTTAGTAAATGGTACAGCATGTGGAGAGATAAAAATTACAGATTTTGGTCTTTCCAAGATCATGGATGACGATAGCTACAATTCAGTGGATGGCATGGAGCTAACGTCACAAGGTGCTGGTACTTATTGGTAGGTATTCAGGAGGCCTGGCAAGTTGGCTGGTGGAAATGTGTCTCTGCCATACAGAAGCCTTGGTAATTAACAATTTTCATATACTGTGTACTAAGGCAGAAATAATGTAACTGTCTTTTCAGCAGTTTGACCTTTTATATTAATTGTCTTACTTTTTCTTTCCTCTCTTGAAAACCCTTGAGAGCTTATGTGTGGCCAGGTCTTAGAGATGTATGTTTTCTCCACAGGGCTGACCTTACAAGTCAGTAGAGAGTGAGGTTGTTCATGTGGTATATAAAAAGAATGGGTCCAAATTATTTTCGGTACAAATGGAGGTCTCTCTCTTCATGGGTTAATGGGATGAGGGATTTGTTTCTAGAGTTACCTGAGGATGATGGACTATCAAGAATTAAGGAGTTGTGAAGATCAGGATGGAAAAAAACCACAGCATCCCATGAAATCTATACAGGAACAAGTGAACACAGTTTACCAGAAGTTTATCCATATCTGTTAACCATGTTCTACAAAGTTGTGAGACACATTTCTTCTCACCATTTACTATCACCTGTCTTTCCCCAATTACCCTACTTCAGCTAGTTTTGCTATAACCTCTTCTATTCCTGCCTACTATTACTTTTTCCCCTTGCTATTACCTGTGGCCGAGGCATTTAACTTTGTAACTGTAAAAGTAAGTTAACAAAGCTTTCCTTTCCCTTCAAGGTGGTTATACAAAGCCATATATTGGCATCTGTGATTTTGAACCTGGAAGGGCTCCTTAGCACTAAGGAAGGCGTAACATGCTCTTGTATCCCTTCGTCAGGGGTCACTTATATTTGGGACTAGAGGCAGTAGGCCTTAGCAGAATACTGACTAGGAATGAAAGGCTTGACAAGGAAGCAGACAGGGATGAGGGCCATGCCATTCACTATGCACAGAGTGAGGCTGTTAATACCCAGTGCACCACACAGTACTCTCCATTGCTCCTTGTGCTTGTGGAAATGGTGCTTATAGTAAAGAGTCAGTCTCTAAATTAAAACTCTGAAATTTGAGGTTTAAAATAGAAGCTGCACTTACAATGTTTATTCAATATGATAATTATTGTGGGTTAGTGTCCCTGTCACTAACTGGGGATGCAAAAATATCTATTGTTGGAAATTCCGGAAAGAGTTTTATACCTCAACTATATAAATTTGCTAGAACTTAGATTTGGGCTTTATGTTTGACAGCTCATTCTTTTTAAAAGGTGCATTTTTTTTCGTGTTTAAAATAGTGATCTTATTGCTACATAATGCTTTATTTACTTAGTTATAAAAAAAATTAGCAATTGGAATTTAAATAAATATCATATGAAGGCCAGGGGATGTAGCTCAGTGGCAGAGGGCTTAACATCACATGCATGAGGCCCTGGGTTCAATCCCCAATACCACCCCCCAAAAAAAGAAAAGTTTTGCTTCAAAGTTATCTGTTATATGGGGGTTCATGGGAAAGGGTGTGTATGAACAAAGATTGGCCACATGGTGATGCTTATTAAAGCTGGAGAATGGTTATTTTGAGGTTTATTTTACTGTTCTTTTTTTTTTTAATACTTCTGTTTTATTTATTTACTTTTATGTGGTGCTGAGGATCGAACCCAGGGCCTCACACGTGTTAGGCGAGCACTGTATCATTGAGCCACAACCCCAGCCCTACTGTTCTTTTTACTTTAGATTATGTTTGAAGATTTTCATAATGCATATAAGAAAGGGGGCTTCTGAAAAAATTAAATTTTATAGATTTTTCTGAAGGTTTGAGTCTCTGTGTTAGTGAAAATATTATCATAATCACCATCCCTCCATGTCATCCTCTTAACATGACCCAGAGAGCTACAAATATACTGGAAGGATATAATATTCTGAGTGACTATTTGCAGTTTTTAGTTGTTCCAGAATTCTTCTACATTGACTACTTCTTTAAAATAGTGAATCATAGACTATGCCGTGAACATCATTTCTCTGTAAGAAAATTTTTATTGTGATAGAAATACAGCTGTATGTGTGTATTTTAACACAGTTTAGTGTAGCATTATAGAACGGTCTTTAGTTTTCCTCCCAAACTCCTTGACAGGAAATGAGGATCTTTATTTTCAGTATTATTTGGGTAAAGAACTAGTTTGTTTCTTCATTTATAGATGGAGAAACTGAGACCTAAAAAGTGATTTACCAGACTTGTACTGTCAAGTACAAGTGTCATTTATATTCTGAAAATCTAGCCAAATTATTGTGCTGTCTTTGGATAAGCTTACCAACCCCTGATCTTCCCTACCACCTCTACCAAAAGTTAAAAACACATTAAATTGATCATTTTAGAATCAAGCTTATGTTTTTCCTTTATCCAAGATCATATTTAAGTTTTGTATATTAAAGAATCAAGACTGTGAAAGCTTGGATCTGGGGAGTTTTTTGTGACAGTTGGAAGAGCTGGGTTTTTAAATTTTTTTTCCCTGTATTTTTTATTTCTTTGATTTTTTTTTCCTTCTTTAAGTTCTGGATGGATCGATATTTCATTTTTCAGTGTGGGTTTTGGTGTTTTTTTTTGGGGGGGGGACTTTACTTCATAGGTATGTTATTAATGCCACAAATTGGAAACTGTTTCTGTTTTGTTGTGATGCATGTCTGTGTTGCCCAGGCTGGTCTCAAATTCCCAAGCTCAAACCATCCTCCTGCCTCAGCTCCCCAACCCCCCAACCCCCCCCCCCCCAAAAAAAAAGCCTGGAACTACAGAAGCACCTCATTGTGCCCAGCTGGTTATTTATTTGTTTTGTTTTTTGTGGTGCCCCAGGGCCTCCTGTATGCTAAGCATGCACTCTATTACTGGGCTACACCCCCAGGCCTCAGCACATTTTGGCTAAAAGTTTTCATTGTGAAATATCTAGTCAAAGGCCCTAATTGTTCAAAAATATTTTGTTAAGAAAAATAAGATAAGTGAACAAACTTCTTTTAAAGAAAAAAAAATGCTGTGTACAGCAGCACAAGTCTATATTCCCAGCTGCTCACGAGGTTGAGGCAGGAGAATTGCTTGATACCAGTAGTTCAAGTACAAGTTGAACTACCTCACAAAACAAATGAACAGACAGACAAAAAAGAAAAGAGAGAAAGCCTTTCATTTGAACTAAACTTAACAAAGATGGAAAATAGGAGAAGGAACATCTGCCTCTCGCCTTTTATGGTCCCCTTAAGCTCTAAGTTTAGATTTTTATCCCAGGTGTACAGTGAGGGTCCAAAATAAGAGTTTTTCATAGAGTGGGTTTTGCCAGCACAAAATCAACAGAAATTGATCTGTTTTCTTCAGAATTTTACCTTCTAGTTGTGCCAAAGCTAAGACTCCAGGTGTATTTGTTTGGTTTCCTGAATGCCCAGAAGCACTTAACTTTCCATACCTTACAATTTGGTGTAGTCAGCTGTCCTCTGTTTCTTTAGAGACCATTGGTGGGGAGGGAAGGAATTTAGGTGAGAAACAGGTTGTGCTAACAAGTTTGTTTGGCTTTTGCTGCACTATTTGCCAGTAAACCCCAATCCTCCTTAAAGTAGGAAATATAAAATCTTTTGATAATTTGAACTTTAATATCTTTTGATTTATTTATTTATTTTGTTGTTAATGGACATTTATTTATTTGCAGTGCTGAGAATCAAATCCAGTGCCTCACACATGCTAGGCAAGTGCTCCACCACTGAGCTACAACCCCAGCTCTATTTTTGCTTTTGTTTTTGCTGGTAGTATAATGGATTGAACCTAGGACCTTATTCATACAATGCAAGAGCTGTAAATAGGAGCAGTGGTCTAGCCCTTTTTTATTATATTTTGAGACAGGGTCTTGCTAAGTTGCCCCATCTGGCCTCGAAATTGTGATTCTCCTGCCTCAACCTCCCAAGGAGGTGGCATGCGCCTTCACACCAACTTACCCTTGATTTTTTATGTTAGAGTTAATTCTAGTCAACATTTCACAAAAAGGCTACCTTAAGAAGGCAGAATAGAGCCAGGTGCAGTGGCACATGCCTGTAATCCCAGTGACTTCGGAGGCTGAGGCAGGAGGATCATAAGTTCAAAGCCATCCTCAGCAACTAAGTGAGGCCCTAAACAAATCAGTGAGACTCTGTCTTTAAATAAAAAGTAAAAAAGGGCTGGAAATGTGGCTTAGTGGCTAAGCACCCCAGGGTTCAATCTCTGGTTCCACCAAAAAAAAAAAAAAAAAGGACAGACTACCCGCTCCATACCCCACAGAGCTCTATAATGAGACCTGAATTAACTTGACTTTTAAAACCATCTGTTAATTTTTCAGGGCATGGTGGCACACCATGTGGACACTTGTTAGTCCCAGCAATTTGGGAAACTGAAACTGGAAGACCATAAGTTCAAGGCCAGTCTGGACAACTGAGTGAGATCCTCATCAACTAAGTGTGACCCTATTTCAAAATTAAAAAATAAGCTGGGGATATAGCTCAGTGGTAAAGCACCCCTGGGTTCAGTCCCCAGTACAAAAAAACAAAAAACCGGCACTAATTTTTAAGGACTGGCAGTAATCTTAGTGGAAGCCATGGTTTTAATCCCCAGTATTAAAAAAAAAAAAAAGCAAAAACCATTTATTGATGTTAGAGACATCTTTAGTCAATGAAAGAAAACCATTTCTAGTTATATTTTAATGTTTGTTGATAAAGTGATTGTAAAAGGAAAGTCTTTTCTTTTGTCCCCACCCCATTAAAAAATCTGTTGGGGCTGGGGTTGAAGCTCAGTGGTGTAGAGCTTGTCTAGCATGTGAGAGGCAGTGGGTTTGATTCTTAGCACCACATATAAATAAATAAAATAAAAGTCTATCAACAACTTAAAAAAAAAAAACCTGTGAGGATTAAATAAAGGTTTATGTAGCCCAGTGGTGGAGTGCTTGCCTAGCATGGGCAAGACCCTGGGTTCACTCCCTAGTACCACAAAAACAACAACAACAACAACAAAAAAGCATGTTGAATGACACTTGGATTAGGCATAGCTCCAGGAAAGGAGACTGCAGACTAGGGAGAATATTTTCCTCTTTCTGTAAAAAGAGAAATGTATTTTAATGCCTATATGGGCATTGCCACCTTCCTAAATCTTTTCATTGACTCTCATACTTTTCTAAGTTGATTTTAAATCCAGATATTGCAATTATCAATAAGACCTTTTATTTTGCCTTTTTATAGTTGTCTTAGATTTATATATTTATTTTCTAAGAATTTTTATTTCTCTTTTCTCCCAGGTATTTACCGCCAGAGTGTTTTGTGGTTGGGAAGGAACCACCAAAGATTTCAAATAAAGTTGATGTCTGGTCAGTGGGTGTGATCTTCTACCAGTGTCTATATGGAAGAAAGGTAAGGAAGAAGGGTGAGATAGCAGCTTGACTTGCTTCCTGGGTGGCATATATACATTGTACCTTGGTGTGGATTTGCTCTTGGAGTTAATCATTGGGTTATACTAAATGGAATCTCAAAAGTAACGGTTCAAAGAAAATACAGACTTACTAATAAAAGCTTTATGCATAAGCACAAATTCTCAAGTACAGGGTATCTAATGAATTCTGCTGGGCCATTGAAAACATGCAGTTTTGCTGTTCTCAATTAGATCCAGAACATGTTTTGATTCTCATAATATGTGAAGGGGTTTAACATGAAGTAGTTTATAGTGAATAGTCAAGATCATTCTCAAGGGGCCTAAGAACTAAGATTCAGAAAATCCCTAGACTTTATTTTTAATGTTAATGAAAGTGTGCTTTACATTTTATACTAGGGAGGTGGTGTCAGAAAGTATCCCTTGCCTCTTGTCTCTGATTGAGGTAATGTTATTTAAACAAATAATAACCCAGGTAGTAAACTACATCTAATGAATTTTCACATTTGTTTTTCCCTTGTAAGTTTAACTTATAAAGGGATCCAGTTATGTATATATATTCCTATTTTAATCTTCAGTTTTGTGTGTCTCAGTGATTCCATTAGGCTATGGGTGTAAGCCAGATGGGAGCCCTGAAATACCTGTAATATCTTAACATTTTGATTAGACTCCCCATACCAAGCTCTTAATCAGATGACTCCTTCCCATTTAACTTTTCCTTGGTCTTTCTCTTACCTCTCCGAATCATGGAGACTATTCAGGGAAACTAGTAGGGTTTAATTATTATTTATACTCTCTGATAATGTTGAATTGGCTGTTGATGGTAGTGGTATAGGTCATGTAGAAAGAATCGTTTAAGGTCTTTTGGTAGAAAGATGGTAGAGATGACAGTAAGCTTGAACTTATTTAAAGAGTTTATCAGGAAATGTCAATTTGGGGACAGATACCAGCACTAAGTGGCCCCAGTCCTTTTTTGTTCCCACTCTCTCCTTAGCACTTCTACTCTTTTACTTCCTTTTTTATACTTTTTTCTCTGCATCTTAGGTTAGCCAGTGGTAGGCACATGTGTGTAGTGCTTAGGACCACAGGTGTCATTCAGAGTACAACAGGTTGCTGGTTCCTGCTCTGTATCTTCCCCTTTTTTATTGTGAACAAAGCTTGAGATAGGAAATGCTGCTGCTGGTTCCTGCTCTGCCTTGTTTGACCTAATCCTTAAGCTGTGAGCCCTTTCCTCTTATCTGTGAAAGGAGCAAAATGGAAAAAATCATCTCCAGAATCCCTTCCAGCCATGGTAGGGGAAATGTCTTCCCCTCTCTCTTCCCTGTGGTACTGAATTGTATTCTCTTTAATTTTAATCAGAGACCTACCCTTATTTGCTTGTTTGCGTTGTTTTTCATATGACAGCCCTTTGGCCATAACCAGTCCCAACAAGACATTCTACAGGAGAATACTATTCTTAAAGCTACTGAAGTGCAGTTCCCACCAAAGCCAGTAGTAACACCTGAAGCAAAGGTAAGTTTAATCCATCAGCTAACAGAAGTGACTGCTTTGCTTTCTTTTATTTCTTTGGGTAGTAGTGGATATGTAATTATTTGATTTGAAAATCAGTTATTAAAAACATTAGGAAAGGCATGAGTTAAATATTCCTAAAAATAAGGGAAGAATATTGCTTATACTCTGCCCATCTCATCTCTAAGTCCAGTGAAAGGAATGTTGGTAGGTGGGTTTTTAATCCACAAAGGCTCCCTAGAGTCAGGGCAGAGAAAGGAGAGCAATTCGATGGTGATGTACCAGGCTTTGAGGGCAATAGAAAGGATTCCCAGCCTCATTCCTATTTAAGGACTATCAATTTTGGGAGTTAAGTCCCATGTGGGAAAAATGATATGAGTACTAAGGCATTGGGGTTAAACAGCAGTGAGTAGTAAACAGTAAAGTCTATACCAGTTGGTGAACGTGTATCTAAACCTTCACGGTGGCCAAGGAAACATGGAATGGAGGTGGTGAAAGAAAATTAAAATAATCAGTCTTGCAAACCAAGATTTCATTAGCTGTTCATATACTTGATCTCTTCTTATGTATTATCCAAAGCTACTTAAGGTCAGTGGTGGTCAGCTCTGTTGGATGCCATGGTCATTCAGAACTTTAAAGTCAAAGCAAATAGTATAAGTCTAATTCTTTTTACGAATGTTTGTCTTGCTGTTTCCTCATGGCACACCTATGTGAAGTAGATTAGAAAGGAGTCTCTTTTCTAAGTGTTCTAGCTGATGTATTACATCAGCTTTTCCATGTATTACATGGAAAGAGGGAATATCTTTAGCAGTTGTTTATAATTCCTGACAGGATGACTTCTTGCCCCCATCATTTGGGCTTAAACACTCCATAACCAGTAAATTAAATCTGCAAGGGAGTGCTGTGTGTAGTGATGTACACCTGTAATCCCAGTGGCTCTGGAGGCTGAGGCAGAAGGATAGGAAAAAAAAAATTTAAAAACTGGGGATGTAGCTCATTGGTAAAGTGCCTCTGGAGTCGATCCCCAGTGTGCTCCCTTCCCTCCCCCACCAACCACCCCCCCCCCAAAAAAAAAAAAAATCTGCAAGGAAGGAGTTCCTTAACATTGCTAAGGCACATGCAGGGTTTCTAACTCCTGGGAGAGGACTAGAGAGACCTTCAGTGGTGAAGCCTGCCCTAATTTTGATGTCAGCACTGGACTCAACAGCTATATGACTTTGGGCTAGTTTACTTAAACTTTCTGAGTTGTTTTGCTTTACCCATGAAACAGAAATGCTTTCAGGTAATTGTGAGGTTCAAAAGGACTGAATCACTTGCCATTCAGTACCTTCTGCAGTTGCTCTTAGTTGATGACCATGCCCCATCTGCTATCTAGGGTAACACTGAGGAACAGGTTGCCTAAAAGATGTTTAATTTTCATCTGTCAGATCTCTGAAGACCCATTTCTTCATTTTGACCATTTTGTCAAATTTTAGTATTCATTCAATAAATAGATGAACAAATGTTCTTGACTTTAGAGTAAATTGAATGGACCTGCTATAAAGAATACGGAAATATCTGAGTTTTTCCGCTAATTGCCTCCTATCTGGCCTCTTCCTCCTTCTACATAAGTATTTCTCCAACCCCTACCCTCTTTTCTCCCTCTCCTCCCACAGCAAATATTTATTGAGTGCCTATTAGTCATTGGACAGTGTTGTAGGTAGTGGAGATGGAATTGTGAAAATGTGGCAATAAACTATACAGATGAGTTTCCTGTCCTTAAGAAACTTATATTCCAATAGGAGAGACAATAAAAAGTAATTGGATACATATTAGATGGTTATAAATGTTATAAAGAAAATAAATTAGAGTAAGCGGTAGGGGAGAGGGTTCGCTAGGGAGGTGGGAACCCCTTTTTTGATGGCATGGTTGGGGATGGCCGCGATGATGAATGGACATTTCAGGCAGTGTCTTGAGCCATTGATGTGAAGATGGGAGCCATGCGTAGATCTGTGGGGGAAGCATTCTTGAGAGAAGCAAGCACAGCTCACGTGTGAGAATGAGCTCACAGGTCCACCACTTATGCAGAACAGAGGAGAGAATGGTAGAAAGGCTCTGGGCCATTGTGAAACATGGTGGAAGGAGGCGAGGGGTGTAATTAGGACAACTGTGTGATCCAGTTGCAGTTTTAAGAGCATACACTGGCAGCTATGTAGAAAGAAAATTAAAGATAGAAGAAGTAGGGCTGGGGATATGGTGTGGCTCAGTTGTTGAACTCAGGATGAGTGCCTCTGAGTTCAGTCCCATAAATAAATAAATAAATAAATAACATTTATTTAAAAAAGAAGAAGTAGTAGTAGTAGTAGTAGTAGTAGTAGTAGTAGTAGTAGTTTATTTTGCCAGTGTCTGACCCAACCCTGTTAAACTTTTTGCATGTGTGTATGTGTGGCAGGAGTGTGTACTGGGCACTGAACCCAGGGGTTCTCTACTACTAAGCAACATGCCCAGCCCTTTTCATTTTGAATCAGGGTTTCATTAAATTGCTGAGGCTAGCCTGGAATTTGTGGTCTTCTCTTCTTGCCTCAGCTTCCCACGTAAACTGGGATTATAACTGTGTGCTACTGCATCCAGCAGAAAGGTTCTCTTTTAAAGACCAAGTGTTGTTATATTCATTTCTGTGAATTTGTTTTTATCTTCCAAATCTTCAATCAAGTAAGTAAGTATCTTTGATTTTTTGAAAGCCCAAATTTGGCATTGTGTGATTTTTGTTTTTCTTGGGGTTTTTTTTTTGGGGGGGGGTTGGTACTGTGGATAGAACCCAGGGATGCTTTACCATTGCACTACATCCCCAGGCTGCCCTCTATGTTTCTTTTTCTTTTTTTTTTTTTTTTGAGACAGGGTCTTGCTAAGTCACTAAGGCTGGCCTCCAACTTTTGATCCTCCTGCCTCAGCCTCTGGGTTGCTACAATTACAGGTCTGCACCACTGCACCTGGTGGCATTGTACTTTTGTTAATTAAACTTGGAAAAAATAGAAAATCATTTATTTTGCATTACACATTTTGTTGTAAATAAACTTAGGTTTTTTGGGCAGTGTTAGGTTCCCAGCAGAATTGAGCAGAAAATACATAGTACACATATACTACCTGCCCCTCCCCTAGAACCTCCCATATCAACATCAGATATCAGAGTAGTACATTTGTTATTATTGGTGACCCTACATTGGCACATCATTTTCACCCTACTGTAAAGTATAGGCTTTTGGTGATAATGATGCTTTAGACTTTTCAAAATGATTCATTTATTTAAAATAGTTGCATTATAAAACTGAGTAAATAGAACTGGAAGAAATAGAATAGGAAGAAAGCAAGAGGAAAATAATGGTATATAGGTCAATGATAAGAATTATAGAAGTAAGACTACATAGCCTTTCATACCTAGTAGAAAGAAAACCGCCATGTTGGTAATAAATTCGAATTCCTTGTCAAACTTCCTCACTGTTTTTGTGTCTGTAGTACCTTTGGAGATATAGTCCTATTCAGTTTTCCCTATAATGCTTAGATAGTGCCTCATCATTTGCTTAATGACCTTTCACGGGAAGATAGGGTATGTAGGGAAAGCATTTCAGAGCCACTGGGCATGTTGCTCGGTAGTAGAACACCCCTAGGTTCAGTGCCCAGTACACTCCAGCTGCACATGCACATATTGTGTTGTCAATCATTGTCAATCTCTTTTCACTGCATTGGTGGTAGTATAAGCTTAGAATTTCCACTTCCTTGGAAATTCACATGAGACTGTGGTTTGTTGATGCAAGACTGTGAAGTTAGACTTTTCCCATCCAAACCAACACTTTTTGGTTGGTCTAGTGCTTTACAGGCAGGAGTACTTATAGAGGCCCTTCTGTAGCGGGAGGGAGTGGAGAATATTGCAACAGAGGGGTGCCCTTTCCTTATCTTCCCTGGGTCTGCCTGATGGCTTCCAGGAAAGGCCTTAAGCCCCTTCTCTTTATGAGATGTCTGCTTCGGGCCCTGGCAGTAGATCCAGAGCCTCTAGTTCCCTCCGGGGTGCTGGGATTGTCTGCTACAACCTTCTACAAGAAACTTTCCTTTGCAGGCTTTTATCCGGCGATGCTTGGCCTACCGAAAGGAGGACCGCATCGATGTTCAGCAGCTGGCCTGTGACCCCTACTTGCTGCCTCATATCCGAAAGTCGGTCTCCACAAGTAGCCCTGCTGGAGCTGCTATTGCATCAACCTCTGGGGCGTCCAATAACAGTTCTTCAAATTGAGACCGACTCCAATGCCACAAACTGTTAACACACAGAGTGGACAAACAGCATTCAGCAGCGGGTTTGGAACTTAGCGAATCCGAATGGATCTCATGAAACCTGTACCAGGTGCTTTTATTTTCTTGCTTTTTTCCCATCCATAGAGCATGACAGCATCGATTCTCATTGAGGAGAAACCTTGGGCAGCTCTGGCCAGGCCTCATAGGAAAAGGCCCCGCCCAAGGTTCTGGCGTCAACGGCCACTGTGTGTGGCTGCTCTGAGTGAGGAAAAAATTCAAAAGAAAAACTGGTTCCATGTACTGTGAACTTGAAAATATGCAGACTCAGGGGGGTCCCTGATGCAATGCTTCAGATGAAGAATGTGGACTTGAAAATACAGACTGGGCTAGTCCAGTGTCTATATTTAAACTTGTTCTTTTCTTTTAATAAAGTTTAGGTAACATCTCCTGAAAAGCTTGTAGCACAAAGGCTCAGCTGGGGATGGTGTTTGACTTCGGAGGAAAAAAGTTGCTATTGCCCGTTAAAGGCACTAGAGTTAGTGTTTTATCCCTAAATAATTTCAATTTTTAAAAAACATGCAGCTTCCCTCCCCCTTTTTTATTTTTGAAAGGATGCATTTGGTCATAAAGTGAAACCCGTATTAGCAAGTACGTGGCAATGTTCATTCCAGTCAGATGCAGCTTTCTCTTCCGTCTGGTCTCCTGCTTGCAATTGCTTCTCTCGTCTCAGTTGGGAAAGAAGGGAGTGGGAGTACTGAGATGCGCGGGTTTTTGCCATTGGACAAAGAATGAGGTTAGAAGACTGCAGCTTGGAGTCTCTAGGTTTTCAACTATTTCTTCACAATTTGAACACTTGACGGTTGTCCCTTTTAATTTATTTGAAGTGCTATTTTTTTAAATAAAGGTTCATCTGTCCATGCAGTCCTCCTGGATTCTCTGAATGTAGTAACTATCGAAACTGTTCCAAAGGTAGGCAGAAAACAGGCTGGAAAGCCAAAAACTCAAGGGATCAGTAGTTCCTACCTACAGTCTTTGTGTGCTTGCTAAATGGTGTACATTTCTTGTTACCACATTATTAAAACTTGATCGGCACATAAGCTTTCTTCTGTTAGATCTTTTGGCAGGAAACAACCTTCTCCCAGTATTCTAAATTTGGTGGGTGTGTGCTGGTGTGTGTGTCTATGTGTGCATGTACACACACACTTTGTCTAACTCACTTTAATAGATATATTAAGTGAAATTTTTTTTAAAAAATCAGCTCAAGGAAAATAGGTATTTCAACTATGAATGTTCTTTTGGAACTAATTTTTAAAAACATTTGGTTGTTTCTGAGACATGTGATTAACTGAAGATGGAGCTGAAATGGGAGACATGTGGCCCCACAGTGCCCTTGAAACAGCAGAGCCCTCGGCAGGAGAGGGAAGGAGTCCAGAGCCTGAACATGTGGTAGCCAGCTTGGAATGTTACTGACAGATGTGGCAAGAGGGCTCAGCCAGAAGTATTTAAAGATGTAGCATTCAGGCCTGCTTGTTTTCTGGGCAGGAAGGGAGTCAGGAAGGGCAGAGCTCTCAAATTGCTCATGATTCTAGAGTTTCTTTTACACGTGAAAAATGTCACTGATGACATGTTTTCTAGGACTGTTGTCTGTTTTGTGGACCTGTCCCACTTTCCTCAGTATCAAGCCATCTTAAGAGAAGGTGGAACATTCCAAACTGAATGGGTAGGTGTTATATGGAACGCAGAAGGAAAGAAGTCATCCCCAGAGGCCTTGGTGTTCCCTCAGCTTTTTAAAAACTATTTTATTGAAATAAAATGTTGATATTTATACACACATGCCTGTGTGTGTGTGTGTGTGTGCTTTTCTCTTTGATTTTCTTTTGTGCCACTGAGCCCTGCCCCCCCCCCTTTTTTTTTTTTTAACCACTGCCTTCAAGTTGCTAAGCAGAGAGCAGCAGGTTGATTGAACAGAGTGGTCTTCACATATGAAGAGATGAAGAGACAAATGAAGTTGAGACCATATTAAACCAACTAAAACCAGTTTAGTTCTGTGCTTTTTCCCCTTTCCTCTTTATAGTGATCTTGCAGTTTCATTTTTGTTTGTTTGTTTGTTTTTGGTACCAGGGGCACTTAACCACTGAGCCATATCTCCAGCCCTTTTTAGTATTTTATTTAGAGACAGGTTCTTGCTGAGTTGCTTAGGGCCTCACGAAATTGCCAAGGCTGATCTTGAACTCACGATCCTCCTGAGCCTCTGGGATTACAGGTATGCACCACTGTGCCTGGCTGCAATTTAGTTTTTCAATTTTTAAAGTTAAAATAAAAAGTTCATCTTTATGCCTTTTCTCTAATTTCTTGTCTCCTTTTATCTCATGGGCTGATCAGTGAAGCTCAGCATTCTGAAGAAGGCACCATCTCCCCTTTCTTTGACTGGGTGTAGGGCCTAGTTGGGCTTTGCCAAGTCAGAGCAAGACATCTTTTCCACTGTGTGGGCCAGCCCCGAAGAGCACACAGAGCACTTACCTTTCCTGGTCTTGGAAGGAGCCAGTGAAATCACTAAGTGGGGTTCTCCATGACAGACTTTGTTGCAGTGGGTTTCACCTTCTCTGAGGATAACCCCTATTCCCACAATGTTGATTCACTTTACACGGTGATACAAAAATGTTTATTAATTTGTAATTAAACCCAACTAGACTGTTTTGGCCTTTCCCAGTTGGGGGTAAGGAGAGGAAGGATATTAAAGTTTTAAGGAGAAAATTTCCTAGCCTCTTGATTTTCCTCTATTTCTCCAACTTCCAAACAAAGCCCTTACCATCAAGGGTGTTAGATGAGGGGTTCCTGGCAGGCAGCAGAGCAGAGCCCCTTGGACATTGTAGGCACAGTGGGAATGTATTGATTCATGTGACACATTTTGTGCCTCCAATGTACGAAGAACTAGGCTTGTATGGTGGGATCCAGCAGTGAACAGGATAGGGATGGGCCAGCTAGTGGCTCAGATCCAGGAGTGGGCACCCAGGCCTACCCAGGAAGAGATGAAGTGTGGGAGAACGAGGGGAGGAATTTGGGCCCTTCCATTGGGGGATGGACAGCATTGAGAGGGGAATCCCCAGAAGAGCTGCATGCACCCCACTTCTGTGGCTGTCCTGGCATACCAGCTGTCTTTTGGAGGTGTGTCCCCCTCCTGCTGTCTAGTCTTTCTTCCAGCTAAGATTAGCCATGAAGGAGCTCTTACATTTCTTAATTGAGAAAATAGCGCTCTTTAAACATAGTTATCTCTTAGAATCCTAGAGCTAGAAGCAAGCATTGACTTCTTCCAAGAAGGCAAAGTTTACAACTAGCTGGGCCCATCTTAGTGTTTTCTTTCTGAGCATCTTTCCTGCCCTCCCTTACTTCATCACTCACATTGCCCAAGCCATCTGTTTTCCTTCCTTAAGATAGAATTACTCAAAGGTTAAGAGTCTGAACTTTAAAATTATTGTTTGGGTTCAGATCCCACCTCTGCAAACTTGAGGGATATCTCCTCACTCTGGAGCAGAGTAAGGAGTAATGATAAGATAGGTAAAAGAGCCTGGCACATAAGAGGGGGGAAAAAAATGTGATCTAAAGAGGATCGCAAGTTCAAGCCCAGCCTCAGCGACTTAGTAAGACCTTGTCTTAAAATAAAATATTAGAAGAGGCCAGGATGTTACTCAGTGGTTAAGTGCCTCTGGGTTCAATCTCCCGTATTTAAAACACACACGTACACACATACACACGACCAAGTGCAAGAGTTAGTTAATCCTGGAACCCCCCAGGTTCATGGGTTTTTGAGGTTCAGAACCTCCTACCCACCAGTGTGTCAGATGATACTTTGACCTGGGATAGGTAATTCAGACTTCCAGAAATGGCTCCTCCAACTTGAGATCCAACATGAATCTCTTCCTAGGTTAGTGGGTCTCCTCTTAACCTAGCTCCAAGACTGCTTCAGGCTGAGTCTGGGAGAAGTATCCTTTAGGTAAGTGGTTCTCAGAATGACCAGCAGCATCAGCTCTACCAGGAAGCTTGTTAGAAGTGCAGTCTCAGGCCCCCACCCCACCCACTGATGAGGAACTAGAGGCCCTGCCAGCCTCACACTTCACATCTCCACCCAGTACATATTCCACAGAATAGAACTTCACTCACAGGCAAACACTGTGACAGCTAGTTACGGGGCTTAGCTTTCTGGTGTCACCTCCAGTGATGATAATGCAGGCTCACTTTTGGGAACACATCTAGGGATGGTCTAGGTGGGGTCACCAGACCCCAAATTCTTTTTTAACCAAATTCATGCCCTTTAGCATGCTAGGCAAGTGCTCTACTACTGAATTACACCCCCAGCCCTCGGGCCTCTTCTGAACTCACCCATTTGGAAGTCAGAGATGAGACCCTTTGTTGTCAGATATTGGCTGTCATGGTGGGGACCAACATTGAGAGCCTCTCATACAGGCATCTGACAATACACTCAAGAACCATTCCCTCCTTTGTGCAAAGATTCTTACCCTGGGCCTTCTCTTAAAATACACAATAACTCAGTATTGGGATCTAACTGCTTCTGAACCTAAGCGGCAGCCTGGAAGTGGGGGGGGGGGTGTCCTGTGTGTAAGGAGAACCTGGGGCTGGCCTGCCCAAGTTCTTTGGAGGAGTCGGGAGGAGAGAGTAATGGAGAGCTTGCAGGGAGGATAGGAGAGATGAAGAGGAAGTGGCTGCTAGTGAGCTTTGTGGGTGGGTTGGAGGAACCTGCCAGAGGCTGGGAAAACAGGCCGGCCTGGGAGCAGGTCTGAGACCTCTTGGGGGCAGGGAATACAAGAGTGCTATTGTGCTGGAGGAGCCCAGCAGGGGCCCAAGTCTGGCTAGAGTCAGTGAAGGATGTGTGTGTGAGTGAGGCTCTGGGCAGGAGACCCCATGGTGTGAGGGTCCGAGGGCAGCTGGCTGGCTGACTTGGCCCCACCCCATTGGCCCTGGGTCAGGCCTCCTGGGTGTGGTGGGAAGTGTCCAGCCAGAGGACTCTGCAAATCTCAGCCCTGTTAGCCTCATGGAGAAGCCAGCAATGGTGGCCTCCTGTACAACTCAAGCAACTTAAGCTTGAGGAGGGGCAAAGGAAAGGGATTCAGCCTTCTGCTTTGCAAAGAAATTTCTTAGCTCTGTTGCTTCTTAGCCTAGGCATAGGCAAGGTAGAAGTATCTCACTGATTTTACAACCAGGAAACGGGCCCAGGGGGATTGGTGACAGTCAGTGGGTAGAGCTGCAGTGACTGGGAAGGGGACTGCAGGTTGAAAATTTTGTCAAGTGGATTCTCTTGAGTGCAATCTTTGGGGAGAGATGGCTGTGAATGAAGGTGGCTCTTGGATTGCCAGCAAAGTTCTAGTTCTGCCCTAATTAGGCCAATCCTAATCCAATCATATTTTGCCCTAATCCTGTCACTGGTCTCTCCTCTCCCTCCTGGCTAGTAGCCGTTGGAAGTCTACTTTTAGGACCAGCCAGTCTGGACAGTATCCCTGTCCCTGCAGTGCAGGCTGTAACTGAATTTAGATGAGAAAATGGGGGTGTGGCTTCATAGAACGTTAGTGCTGAAAGTTCCCCAAGATCATCTGCTTCTGTAGTCTATAGTTAGGAAGGCACAATCCTGCCCTGCCTGTAGAAAATATATCTTCTGCTCCTAAGTGTCCCGATTGGATAAGCAGGAATAGGTCAAGGTTGCCCAAGCCTCACCTGCCATCCTATGGTTACAGTGAGCCTTGGGCCTGGCTGAAGGACTCCAGGCAGTATGGCCTGCTGAAGTGTCTGTGAAGGGCAAGTAGAGCCCTCTGTGGGTGAGTGAGGGACCCTGGAGGTGACACAAGGAAATGGGGTGGTGTGTTAGATGCAGTGCTTTGGACAGGGACTCAGCAGGAATAGCTGGGGGGAAA